TATTTCAAAATGATTTCACCAAATGATTTAGGATAATCATCGAACGCCTGAAATGCTAACAAATCATTTACCGGAATAATCATATCAAAAGTGATATCAACTTCTTCATTTGCTTTCTTGAAAACTTCTGAAGGGTCAATATATTTACCACATACTGAGTTATCATATTTTTGGACATTGTTATATAACGAATGAACAAACTTTTTAACTTTCCTTTCTGATTTTGGTTTATATGTTGCAAATGCGAAAGATTCACGGGCACAATCCATTTGAAGATAACCGGCATCACCTCTTTCGGTTTCTACTTCTAATTGCTTAAAGCTTTGATTTGATGATTTGTAACCAACGAATAAACGCATGCATTTAAAAGCGGCATCACATGTGAAAGCTTTATTTGAAACTAGAGTTGCTTTAACTTTGCGTTTAATATATGTGTCACCTAATTGATTCACATCATGAGCCGGATTTGTAATTCTTAAATGAGTTTGTTTATCATCAAAATATGGAGTATCAGAGTCATAACATGAACTTTCAAGTTCTCTATAATATCTTCTTCCGTCATTCTTTGCGAATATTTCATTTATCTTTTCGAATGAATGAAATACATTTCCATTAATCGGTTTAGTGTTTGGCACCAAATAGTTAGTCGTCATTTATGATGAAATAAAAAAATCAAAATTAAAAGATGAAAATGAATTTTTAATTTTAATGAAATAATCAACTATGGCTGCAGGATTCTTTAAAAATTATGGGATAAAGTAAAAAGAGGAGCGCATAAAGTTTGGGAAACAATGAAGAAGGAGCAAATTGGATATTTAAGAATAAAGAAGCAATTAGTGACGTTGCAGAACAAATAGCACCTAATGTTCCGGTAAGGGAAGTATTAAATAAAGGAGATAAAGTTTATCGTCGACTACAACCGATATTGAGATAAAAATAATATTTATTTATTTTTCCACTACTTTCCTCCTATTTTATTAAGTATTCCTTCAGCAATTCCACCAACTGCGTTACCTGCTTGTGCTCCCATCGCTGGATTACCTGCTTTAGCACCTAATACTCCACCTATGATTGTTCCTGCCGTTTTCGCTACTGGTGCCAAAAAGTTTGCAACGGGTTTAATAATATTTTTATGAACCCAACCCGCAGCTTTCTTAATTCCATCCCATAACTTTTTAAAGAATCCTGCAGCCATTTCTGATTTAATATTAATTAAAAAATATATTTCATCACTTATATTCTAATTTTTATTTAATGATAAATGAAACCAATTTTAAAAATAAATGAAACAGGGGATGAAGAAATAAATGAAAGTGAAGATGTTCAAAATAAAATAAACGTTGTTAAACCAATTACTGAAACAAAAATTTTTTCATCTGTTGAAGAATTTAATGACTATTATGTTAATAATAAAAAATTATTTGAAGAATTGACAACATGTAAATTGAATAAAATGTTTAAAGTTGATGGATTCAAAATTTCAAAAATAAAAGGTGTTGTTAGTTTAAAATCTATTCCTCAATCAAGAATCACCTCATTAATGAAAATTGATGATTTAACAAAAAGAATAGAAGAGATTGAAGAAAGAATGAATCAAATAATTGATTTCATAAATTCAAATAATCATTAGTTTCTTAAAGTTCAACATTGAACTCATCAAATTCATTTTCATCATCATCATTATCTTTAACGAGTTTAATTACTCTTTCAACTCTATCTTTTGATAGTCTTGCGTTTAATTTTTTCTGAAGTTTTTCGTTACCAAGTTCTAAAATTTTACATGGATGATATTTAAACCTGTTAAATTCTTTTTCCTCAGTTTTAATCATTAATCTACAAAGAACTTTAGTGAAGTGGTTTTGTTGTTTAAACCACTTATCCTTAATATTTGTTATAAATTCAATATCCGGAATTAATTCCCAAATTTTTGAATTTTCGATTAATTTACCATCAAATGCAAAAGCAATAAGTTTAATATTAAACTTACCTTTATAAAATAAACTTTCTATGCAATCATCAAAATAAACGTCTACTTGTTTAACATGGGTGAGAATTGGTGAAAGTTTATTCATTAATTGATTCACAGTCATGAATTTTGATTCACTCATTTCTTACGAATTAAAAAAAATAAATTATTCAAAAATGTAAGAAGTTTATTTTTAAAGTTTATTTTACTCGTTTATGACTCCATTGATTCCATTCAGGATTTAAACAATGTTTAATTAATCGCGGAATATCTGACATCATCTATATATAGCTTCTTTTATAAAAGATAAAAAAATAAATTATTTTAAAATTAATGTTAATTCTTTAATGATTTATAAATAAATATATTTTAATGCATCGTCTATATATAGATGTAACAAAAAAAGTCACTAAACCCGCACTCATATACTACTTATATATATATATCATCTATCGGCGCGCTCCGCGCGCCGATAGATGAATGACAAGGCTGTCATGCACCAGTGTGTTATAACAGATCGATTTTATTTGAAATTTCATAAATTAATAATTATAATAAATTTGATATTCAGAGACGGCGCTACGCGCCTTTTAGCATTCTGGGCACTTACGTGCCCAGAATGCAAGATTGAGAAATTTGAAACTTCGTTTCAAATTTCTGCCTTGCTGTTAGGCAAAAAGAAAGTCAGTACAAAAAAATTTTGAAATTGAGAATAAAAATAATATTGTGAGTTTTTGTGATATATGGATTTTTTAGAAGATTTTAGAGATTGAAGTCTCAATTTATAAAATTTTTTTAAATTGAGAGGAATTTTAATAATATTATTTTATTTGATATTTGGATTTTTTAGAAGATTTTAGAGATGTCAGTCTCAATTTAAAAAAATTTACAAAAAATGATCGTAAAATAATTGTTTTTGTTCAAATCCTTTTCATTTCGGGAAATTGAAGTTAAATATCAAAGTGATGGTCTATGCATATGTTAAATCAAATCATTAAAAAGTGTTTTGATGACTTTTTCTAACCGCAAATTGTCACTTTTTGATGTTTTAAAATTATTATATATCCTATATGCATTCAAGATGCAAATTAATATTAAAACTCCAAAATCGATTTTTGAGAGAATCAAATTTATCACATCTCATCGTTGTTCCGAATTAATATTTTATTTGTAATGTACATATTATCACAATTACATTCATCATATTAAAATTCAAAAATAATTTTTGAGTTTATTTTATTAAAAATAGAATGTCCAATTATTGATAAAAATCGATCCGCTTTTCTACCGGTCAAGCTGTATATATATAGAACCCATCCATGTAAACCTCGATGTCACTTTTGCGGCCTCGCTCCGCTCGGCCGCAAAAGTGACATCGAGGTTTACATGATGGACAAACTTTTAAAAAAGAAACAGTTCATGATGGATATTTATATGATAAAAAATTAAAAGTTTCGGTGTAGGCTACAGGCGAGGAGATATTACTTCTACGTCTTTAAGTGCCGCCACGCCCAAACTTTGATATCATTGTCTCAGACTTTACTACGAAAATCTAGTCCTATAGGTGACAGTAAAAGTCTACCCAATAATCGCCTTGTTTGCTTCACACCAAAATAATATTTGCAATTTCAACGACAAAAGATAAAATACCAAATATGATGAATGAAGAAGTACTACTAGCATAATCTAATTATTGATAACAGTTTGATTTTCCTATTTATTCAAAATTAGTAAAATTACGATCTCAAATAAGATCAATTAAGCGATATAGTATACTTGAATTATGATAATTATGTTTCATATCCATAGTAGATTACCATCACTAACTATTTTTTGATAGGATCAAAATTTTCAAATAATGAAAAATGAATATTTATATTCTAACTTATATAGCATGCTGATTTGCTTTTTATGCAATCAAAAGATTTGTATCTATTATAGCCTAGTCATTTAATAAAAATAATTTTTGAAATTTTAAGTTTCTATAATTTACTGCTTCAATATAGCTCAGTAATGAGCATTATTGATACAGCTATTAAGCTTTTCATATTTTGCAATTGTTAAGGAATAACAAATATTTTTTGATCAATTAGTGAATATAGCATGAATTAAGCTTCGTAAAGATCATATAATATGAATAAAGATATTAGTATCTATATTACGATGGTTAATGTGAAAGATAACAGTATCATTTTTTAAATTATCTTTAAAAACTACGTAAAACTTTCGCATTATAGTATTTATTGAATGTGAGAAGTTGATTATCTAATTGACAATACGATAGTCATAATGATTAGATAAAAATATTGGAAATCTTTTGCAATTAGCATTTTTGAAGTAAAAAATATTGCTTTGACAAAATAATATTCATGTATTCTTACTTACAAACTCAAAGATAATGATGATTATATAGAAAAATAAAAGTCTCATCACACTTTTCAATGCTCGATTTTTAAAAACTGTTTAAAAATGGAGCTTATATTGAAATAGTGTAGAGACTAAAAATTACCACAGACTATTTCAGAGGATTGAGTTGCCACTCAATCCTCTGAAAAGTCTGAGGTAAATTGCAAAATTTGTTAGTAATCAAACAAAATATTGATAGTGGTGCTTCAAAGAAATTCAATGAAATGTAACGTGTCCATATTGAATTATTTCGACTTCTCTTTATGAAATTCGTTTATAGCATATTATCAGGATGCTGAAAAAGTGGAAGTGTCAAATATTTAAGGTTCTTTTTTGAGAACAACCGCTAAATAAAAAATCCAAATAAACGACACATTTGGCATCTATGATATATAACAAAACTATTTTCCCATATATTTTGAGCAAAAAACTCAAAATTGAGAGTGGTAGCACTTCTTAAAGACGTTGTGCAATTCAATTTTATTTTCCACCAGGGACTCAATTGATTTTATCAATAAGACGAAATCAATCCTAGAATTAAATCTAGGAAAGGCCTATGAAACCGTTGCGTTTCTGAATCCAAAACCTCTCATTTCTTTAGCACTTTTTTTCAGAAATCAAAAGGAAAATGTCTTATTACTCTTCCGATCATTCTTGTAACCATTATATTACAAGAGGAAGGACACAAGTATGCGTCTCAGATGCAGCTTGGGCTTTCGTAGGTCCTCCATACGGTTTCATTCTTCTTTTCGTTGTTCCATGGGTAATTAGTATAATATTTTGGCTCATTGCATATTATAAGAATCGCAAAGTTCATGTTCCATTCTGGTATTTAATCGTTTCTTTGTTACAAAATTTTGCGCTGGCACTTATCGTTTTTGGAATAATGCATGTATTAATAGAAGGATCTGGCATGTATTTGGCCTGCCTAATGTTCGGATTTATAATAGTACTTGGATCAAATCTCATATCGTTAGTTCAGTCTAGTAAGATTCCAATTAATGTAAAAATTAGGGGCCTTTTATTAATTAGAATGCTTTTATTTAAAGCCTTCTGCAAATGTTGCTGCGAATTCTCTTTAAGACAAATCCCAAAACAATGCATAATGAAAGAAGAAAAAGTTTCCAAAATTCGTGAAAGAATTGCTGGAAACCCACCTATTCTAGTGATGCGTATAAAGAGTGGCTTTGCAAATACAAAACTCGGTTATTGCCTTAATGAGCCTCTTATATATGGATCCTGGGAGGGTAATGATGACATTAATCTAGACATAGATGATGGAATCACAATTGTTAAAGTTAAAACAGAATTAGAAGTTTCAGAAGAAGTACTTGGTTATTTCAATCTGGCAAAGCCCGAATATTTCAAGAAATTGCGGGCCATAAACATTGCAATAGCCAGGATGAATCCCAAACGTCATAAAAAAGCAATTTGGTTAGGCGATCCAGAAGTTGAACTTGCAGCAGAGATTTACAAGGTGCCAAATCATTTCTCAACCTGCTATAAAAGCAAATACGTCAAGTTCTTCAACTCTTGCTTTGGCAAATTCCTCTACAGAGTTTTTATGCTTTTCGGATTTTCAATTTTGTTTGATGATATCTTCATCATGCTGGCCAAGTACCAGAAGATCACCGTTAAAAGGAAAGTCGCCGCCGATGGGTCCTTAAGAATCCCAGCATACAAATCAAATAAACAATTTTCTCAGGAAGAGTACACTGCCGATACATTAAACTACGGTATAACGGCAAACCAGAACCCAACCTACTTACTTGTATACAATGCTGAAATTCAAAAGTATCAATACAATAATCAATACACACTTGCATCTTCACCTTATGGCTCAGATTTCCAGCCAGAGTACGGAATTCCACCACAACAGGGAGCTTATCCACCACAGCAGGAATATCCGGATAATTATCAGATGCCACCTCAACAGGGAGGATATCCACCACAACAAGGAGGATACCAACATCAAGGAAATTACCCACCGCCTCAAGGATACCAACCTCAACAGGGCGGATATCCACAACAACAACAAAATTACGGAGCTCCTCCGCCACCACCACCTCCTAGTCAGGAACAACTAGAAACTAAGAATGACAATGAGCAAGTTTAAGTTAAATTTTTTTGTAAAAACATTTAATTTCTTTTCGTTTTAGATGCGCATTGTAATTTGACGATATGAGTTATTTGGCCAGATAAAGAGTTAAAATTAAGTCATAAAAAATGTACTATCTTAATCTTATCATCACTTTGCGACGATAGGATTGACTAAAAAAATATTCGATCTCTCATTTTGTCGAGCATTTATGAATACATAATATACTCATATGATTGGATCTTTTGAATTCAATTTTGCCACTGACCATTCAAACAGTATTCAATTTTTCTATCCCTAATAAAAAAATAAATAAAAAATTGTAACATTTTTTTACAGCAATGGCTGAAGCAGATTATAAGATACAGGATTTAGCGAACAATCCCCAACCAAATACAGAGAGTTCAGAAAGCATAGATTACTCAGATTTAATTGACCATTTCATGAATGTCAATTTTGATTCCGACCCACTCAAATTTACGGAGATTTTGGAAGCTTTATCTCAACATTCAGAACACGGTAATTTCTTCGATTTGGTAAATATTCCTCACTCCCAAGTTTTGGTAAAATTAATCGATACTTGTATCCAAAATGAACCTCCTGTGTTTGACTACGCGTTAATTACAGTATTAAATATTGCAAATAACATTCAGGACAATGATTTGCCGATCCCTGATGAGATTTCAAACCTTGATTTAATTCAAAAGCTATTTCAAGTCTACATTATCACAGACAATAACGATGAGATCGAGTTAATCACCAAGTTCATTACAGTCTACAATAAATTATCTCCGGAACACCGAGATATGACTTTAGACATTTTTGACCTCGAGCAACTTGCTTCATTCAATGAAGACAACTTCAAATCAACTCAGTTTTACATATTCCTTACCTCTTTACTCTATTACCCATTAGATGATAAGTTGTTATCATTTATCATCGAATTGGCCACAAGCGATGTACTATTCTTAAATGCTAGTGCATTTAATGCATTGCTGGATCTAGTTATCGCTATAGCTAAGCAAAATATCAACGTTATTTTGGAAACCCCTGTATTTTTGCAAATTATCATGCAGATGGAGAATTTTTCAGTTGATTGTGCAAATGGTATAATAGATTTCTTCCAGACAATCGTAGATTCAAAGGCTTTCGTTGTTGATCCACCTCATGTTTTGATAAAATTCATAAGGAGCCAAAATATTGAGATTGTTACACGAGCAGTATCACTTATATGCTGTCACCTTCGCGAGTGTCCCTCTTCTATTATTATTTTCTCGCATTACGGAGTAATTTCGGCTATTGTTGATTCAATTGCCGATGCAAACTTCGCAAGGAAGGAACAATGCACAATACTTTTATATGAGTGCTTGAAGACCGGAAATTCCGATTTTATTCTGAAATTACTTTCTCAAAATTCGTATCATGGAAATTGTTCGGCCATTGAGCTCATGGTAGATATTTTAGAATGTAACTCTAAGGAAACCTTCGAAATGATTGTTGAATCTTTCATAATTATCTTTAATTCGACAATTCCTGAAGAAGAAAAAGAAAAGGCCAAGCAACTGTTTTACGAAAACGGTGGAGCTGACTCTTTATCTGACATTGATGAAGAAATTTTAGAAAAATCAGAAACATTAGGTCCAAAACTTGAAATGCTCAAATCTCTTATTGCCACAGAAGAAGAGCAACACTAATGTTCTAACTCGGTTATTCTTATTTACTTTCACTTTGATTTTTTTTGTTCTTTTTTTAAAAAATTAATTTTCTCTCTTTCATAAAATTCTTATTTTTCATATCTGGATCTCAAAAATGGAGAAATGGATGTTTACTCCCCAACATCATCAACTTCAACAGTGAATATATACAAGATGATGCAAATTTACAAAATCAACATTTTTCATTGGAATTGATATTATAACTCAAAGCATCTATTTTTCCTTCTATTAACTTTTCGAACATGACAATGCTTGTCATAATATTGTTTATAATTTTTAATTATTTATTATTAAATATTCTTCATATGCAAACCTTTCAATTCACTCAAATTTTGAATGACAGACACAAAGAATTTGATTTAAAGTTTATAGTTAATTATTTGGCGCCAACAGAAACCAAATAATCTCTTATAGTTGCGTTTTTTGCAACTGAGAGCGGAGTATCGTCATTTTTATCCTTTGCTTCTAAATTAGCTCCAACAGAGATGAGATATTGAAGAATTTCTAGTTGACCCTGACGTGAAGCATAAAAGAGTGGAGTTTGTCCATAATCATCCGGAGCGTCTTTATCAGCTCCAATAGATACAAGATATTGAACAATGTCTCGATGATCGAAATGGACTGCTGTAAGAAGTGGAGAATGTTCACTGTTATCCTTTTTGTCTTTATCAGCTCCAGCAGAGATAAGATATTTAACAAGTTGGAGATTTCCTCTTTCACATGCAATGTGAAAAACATTTCTTACATCACGATTCAAAAATCCTTTCTTTTGTTTGAGCCACAGCCCTTCTTCACAAGCTTTAGAGAAAATTTGTTTGTTTCCTTGAGTAGAAAGTTCCTCTAAGAAAGCATAAGTCTTTTTAAAATCATTAGATTTCTTTAGTTCTAAAATTTTTGGTAGATATTCTTTCATATTGTATTCTTCTTTGATTTGAATGATTTGGGATTTAAGCGATTCAACCTCGTTCGCGTTGCGATTTAAAAAGTCAACTATTCCATTAAGGATTCCGAAATTCATGTGTTCTTTTATTGAATTCAGAATTGAAATAACATCTTCGAAGTTTTGAATAGAAATGTTAGCATTTCGAGCACACACATATAATTCGTTTGACTTAATAACATCATGTGACTGTCTAACAAGAGTTGCGAACTCATTTGCTGTTAAATTTGATATTTTCATTATCTTTTCGATATCTTCGATTCCAAATGTATTAAAGAAGTTTCCTTCTTTAATATAATCGCTAATATGAGCAGCAGCGTTTTCAATTTTCTGAGTTATATCTTCACTCATCAAAATGTGAAGTGATGACCTTACAATTAAAAATTATATCAAATATTGAATTGAGAGAAACGGTTTTTTATAATTTCTGATATGAGTGAGAAACCATAGCAATTGAACTAGCTTGAAACAAAATTGGTTTTATATATATGGCATTATTGAGACAAAAAATGGCAAAGGTTAAATAAAGAGCTGCATTATATTTGAATCTCATTCATTTGATGTTTTCATTGAAAAGATACATCTATTTTGCCAGAGACGTAATTACTTAGAAAGTGATTTGAAAGCATAGTTGCAACTTTTTTTAAAACCCTTGATGAAAATCCTATATCATCGGATTAAGGATGGGCACTCATTAGGGTGATGAAAAAAATCAAGTCTAGCAAAGTCAATATATTAAAAACAGTGAAGACTATTATATAGCATTATAGTGCACAAGCTCAAATATTTAGTGATGCATTTCTCGAACTTATTTTATTTATAAGTTAACCTTGAAACATGAATTTTAGTATATCATGAGCATATTTTTTTCTAATTTTGCAATACTTATAATATCATACCAGGATTCATGTGGAAGTCTAATATTTGGTATATAATATTCTTACAATAAATGTATTAATTCAATTATATTCAAAATGATGGGTCGCAATTTTTACTGAAATTGCAAATTTAATTTCAACAATGAAATTATTGTTTAAAAAAAATAGCACAACAGCAAGATGGACAATCATATATAGAATTATAATGCTCCATATAATGCTTTGATTTGATGCGTATATAATGTTATTTTTCGAACATCTTTGTAAAAAATTGATTTTTGTAATTTTTGAAAAAATTCGATTTTATTTCGAGATTTCCTCTATAGGTGAAGTATATTGAACAATATTCCTATGGGAGAAAATAATTGTAAGTATGAGTACTTTCATTAATACTATGGGTGCCATGGTTATCGCTCAAACGATCAAGTTATATCTCGATTGCGTAAATTGAAATTTTGCTATTTTCTAAATTCACGGCAACAACATTCTTTTATCCTGATCGTACATCACAATATTTGAATGTGCGACCATTTGTTCAAGAAACCGTCAAGTTATTCTTCATTTTTCATGCCGCGGCGAACAAAAGCAGTTGCAAAGCGTATAAAGAACTTAGTTCAAAGCGCGAAAAATAGGGTAGAGCCATATGTCGTCAACACTGTTGAATTTGTGCTATCTGTATTATTGAGCGGCGCTACATTTTGCCAATCAGAATTTCAATTCATGCTGAATAACATCAAAGTTCCGTCAGAAGCTACATTTCATCGAGTCCAAGAAAAGGTTGGTCGTGTTATCATAGAAGTTGCCAGAGAATCTGTTAATTATTGGAAATCTCGAATGAGAAAATGTTCGGGACTTTTGTTTGACGGTTCTTGGAGTCAGAGAAGAAATGCAATGTTTTGCTATGTACAATTTGTAGAAGAGAAACTCAAAAAAATTGTAGATTGGGAAGTGATATCTAAATCTTTTAAAAATTTCAAAGGTAATTTCAACGGAAAATCAAATGAAATGGAATTTGAAGGCTTAAAAAGAATGCTGAAGCGTTGGAATAATGAAAAACGTGTAAATTTTTTTGTGCATGATGGCGATGTCAAAATTGTTTCTACAATCAAAAATACGTTCAAAGGTATCAGAGAATACAGAGATCCTGGACATTTTCTTAACAATATACAGAAAAAGCTCAAACTGCCAGAATTCAGAATCTTATCTAGCATTTCAAAGAATTTATTGCGTTGGCTTAGGCAACTTCTCAATGACACACATATGTCAATTAAAACAAAGAAGTTTTTATGGTTGAATTCCGCTAAACATTATGCCGGAAATCATAAATTTTGTCCAGATCCTGAAAAATGCAAGATGATTAAACCATGGAAATATGCAAAAAATAAAACTGCTATAAAAACACTTAAAAAATTCCTCGAAGATACCGTAAAAATCTTTGATATGGTAAAAAAGATTCATTCAACTCAAGTAGTTGAATCGATAAACCATATCAAAGCAATGCTTGCTAATAAAAATATTAATTGGCATGCTTCTTGGCCAATTAGGATGGCAGTCACAATATTGCATTTCAATGAAAGTATGTTTGAAACGATTGTAGCAATAAGATACAGGTTAAATTTACCAACAATGCCAGAAATGATGAACAGATATTTCAGAATGTATGATACAACAAAAGATTTAATCAAAGCATTCAAAAATTCAAAGCAAGTTCAAAAAAAGTTTGCGGCATTAAGAGCTATAAAGAGAGGTCTTCAAGCTACCGATGATCGTATTACTCTTAAATCACATAAATAATTATTAAATTTATTTCACCCTCAAAACATCATAATCTTGCACCTTCTTTGAATAAACACTTTCACCTTCTATTTTTAATTAATGTTTTTTAATTGTCCAAAATTTTTAGATTATATAAGATATAATTTTTATAAAAGTATTATTTTCTAAAAGATAAGTATATATTCTTAATCACAAAACCTAGCATTTTATCATATCTATATATCAGCTTCCTAAATATAATACTCATATAGTTAGTATGATTTTAATGTTTTTGAACATGAAACGAAAATATGATTACAATCATATAACATAATGGAGTTATTGATATAACTTATATGCATGATACATTAAGAAGTCTTCCAACAATATAGATATAGTTGTAGATTCCTATGATTCCTTTTATATTGTGAGATAATAACATTTTTATGCTGTCAGGAGCCTATGAGTGCCCATCCTTAAAGATTATAAGTATTGATTTACATCAGATTGACTGACAAAATTCAAACGTGACTAAATCAGAGTCACATAGAATTAAGATCGTATCGAAAATTATCATTCATATGCTAAAATTATCTATAATGTTATTAGCAAAAATTCGGATTATGAATCATTTATTATGAAAATACAACCAAATATAATTGCAGGGAATGGAACTTTTAACGCATGATTCCAATAGATTTTAAATATGCAATATCTAACTCCGTTTTCCCAGATATATATACATACAGCATCAGAGATTAAATATTTTACGGCATCAATATGTCCATTTCGTGATGCCAATATGATTGGCGTACTTCCTTTATAATTTGCTTCTATATTTGTTCTAGGAGAGTCAAATGGAAGTTAGGATGTAGAAATGAGTGAAGTTAATCCACTTTCATCATTTGCATCTTTCTCGATTCCAACAGAGATTAGTAATTTAACATGTTCAAAATCGCTAAATTCTGATGCACTAATAAGTGAAGTGCTACCTGAATTATCTTTTGCTTCAATTTTAGCTCCGATAGAGTTAAGATATAGTACAATTGCTAGAAACCATTCTTTGATGCAACATTAAGCGGAGTGAATCCATAAAAATTCATTGCTTCTAAATTGGTTTCAACGGAAATGAGATGTTTAACAACTTCAAACTGGTCTTTTCCTGATGCACTAGTAAGTGAAGTTTCAGAACAATCAAAATCATCATTTACATCATAACCAATTATTCAAAATATATTAAGTAAACTAATGAAACAAGTACAGAAAAAAAAAAAAAGGTAATGGGGCTTCCAGGCGCGTTGCGCCCTCTAGCCCTGAAGATGTTTAGTATAAATGAAGTTTTTATTCGGAGGGCTTCCAGGCGCGTTGCGCCCTCTAGCCCCGAAGATGTTTAGTATAAATGAAGTTTTTATTCTGAGTCAAAGTTCGGGTCTTCTGCGTTATATGCAACGTAATTGAACCATATCTTGTATGGATGGTTCAAATCCGATGAAACAGAAATGGTTTCACCGGGGACTAATACCAAGTTTCCTTCCCAGTAGTCTTGACCATTGCTAAAGAATATGCAAACCAATTCTTCGAATACAATTTCTTGTCCACTTTTGCGTTGGAAAATGACTCTTACACGGTCACCTGGAATGACTCCATCTTTTTCGTTGTCTTCATTCTGTAACGAAATAGTACGAACGAGGAAATGGTTGACAATTTCAACTTGGAATTCGCAAGGAGTTGTGCGAAAAACCCAGCCAACATTTTCGGCTCCGTACTCGTCAGCTAGTTCATCCTCGTCATAGCTGTACGAGTACGGAGTGAAGTTTAAGGCTGCACGGGCAAATTGAATTTGAATTGGGCTGCGTAAGGTAGGAAGCAACTGGTTGAAGAGTCGTTCTTGAAGTACTCTTACAAGAGTGGGACAATAGCGGACAAGTTCGTCTGCATATTGAATTGAATTCGAACAAATTTGTTCGAATTGGACTGTCGCCGAAACTAGTTGACCAAGAGCTGTAGAATACTCTGAGGTCTGTTCTATACTTTCTTCTATAGAAGAAGCCATGTATTCATCAGCTTTTGACTGCAATTGTTGGCGCAATTGGAAGTTAGATTGCTCGGGGTCAAAGCGAGTCTTTGGAGTGTCATCTGGGACTGGGAGTGACCGTGGAGGATGACAATCCTCTTCCTGGATAGTTGAATCGGAATCGCTACTGTCTTGGTATGACATTGAGCTAAAATGAAGTGAAAAAAACCGACCACTTTATTTTTTCAAATAAGAGTTTAAAATAAACCGTTTTCGTCAACGGTAACCCCCTCTATTTTTTTATTTTATTTAATAGTTACCGTTGGCAAACCGTTCCATCTCAAATATTGAATGAACTATAAACGTTTTTTGTTTTCTATATATACTTTTTTGTCCAACGGTAAAACTTTTTACACAACGGTTTTTGAGAGTCGTCGCCGTTGACTTTTTTGTAGAGCACTCAAAATAGTATAACTTTGTCCGGACAAGTAAGGGTCTATCCTCGCTACAGGAAAAGTTACAGGCGTTCCAAGGAAGTATACTTTGAGAAGCCTTTTCTCCCTTTTAAAACAAGATAGGACGGTTATTTTACGAAACCGACAACACTTTGACCGAGTAGTTTTTTGTGCTGAACAAAAAGTGTCATATAAACATCTGTCAAAAACCGCTTTTTAACTTCACTTAAAATGCCACGTAAGCTACGTAAGAATATACGTAAGAGGAAGAGAGCATTGAAACATCCAATAGTAAAACTGACACCACAACAACAGTTGCAACAACAAATAATGAATGACCCCACTATGTTGCAACAAATGTCAAGCAATCCTATGCTTTTAAACCGAGTTCTTGGTGCACAGAGTGGAGGTTTAAGAGCGGCACTTTTAGCGAAAATGGCAGGCTATGGTGGAGCTGCAGACGGAACAGCCTATAACCCTCAAAGTCAAATGAATTTGAGTTCACTCAAAAATCAAATATCAGATGTCAAAAAGTCAAACATAGACATACAGAAGCAAATAAGTGAAAACGAAAAGAAACTAGAATATGACAGACACACAAAGAAACTCAATGAGTTAAACGTAGAGAAAAAGAAGAAAGAAGAACAACTGAAAGAACTAAGTACAGAGGAATATGCGAAAAAAGTGTCAGAAAAAGCAGCAGAAGTAGCAAAAATGGAACAAGATGTTGTAAATTTGAAAAACCATACTACTCAATATAAAGTACTGAAAGATGAAGAGATAAAACAAAAAGCCCTGAAGACATATATGGATAGCGATGAGTATAAAAAAGAAGTTGAAGCAAATGTAAAGGCAGAAAAACTTTTACAGTTGCAAAACCAAACCGTACAGTATGAAAACTTAGCACAAGAAAGTAAAAATAACGACGCAGCCATGCAAAAGGCAATGAAAAGCGCAGAATATATAAAAGCTAACAATGACTGGTTAGATGCCCAAGCCAACGCTAAAGCAGCCCAACTTATAGGGTCAATAAGGACAAAAATACAAGCGGATGAAGACAGTTCAAATGAAGCTTTAATGAATGCTGACTTTAAGAACGCCTTCGAAGCTCTTCATAGTAAGGTGAAACTAGTGAACGACTTCTCATCTGGAAAGAAACTGAAGTCTGAAGGTTTCGACAACGAGTTAGAGAAGTAGCACAAAATATGACGAAAATAACAGATGCAGCAACGAGACAGGCAGTTCAAAGTGCCTATGACGCCGTTAGAGCAACTGTTGTGGAAAGTCAAGAAAAAGAGTTACAACAGACCAAAACAGACCTAGTAAATGCTTTCTTAAAAACGAAAAGTCAGGTAGGACATTATGCTGCAGATGGAACATATGTGCCAGCTGGTGGAACTTATATACCACCAAACCCTCCAAGAGAAGCACCTGCACCAGGACTACCTAAAACATTTACATCGTCACATGGACACAGACACAAGCATGCACCAAAACCAACACAACAACCAACAGTTCAAAATCCAGCACAACAACAACAACCAGCACAACAACACCTCCACAACCAGCACAGCAACCAACAGTTCAAAACCCTGCACAACAACAACCACAAACAGAGCAAGGACATAAAAGAAGTAGAGAACAAGGAAACCAAGAATTCTTAAAAATGCTAAAGGAAGATTATGGTTACTCAGATACTCTTGACTTTAGTGACAGATATAAAGAAGCTATTAGAAAGTTCAAGGAAGGAAATACTGACCCGAACCTATTTAGCTTTATGGCTCAGCACCAAATGGGATATAATTTCAAACCTGGAAAATACAAGCTCGCTAAGGGATATGATTTAATAGCATATCATCCAAATGACATGACTGAATTTACTCCGAGATATTTGGTGTCAGAGCTAAATGACAATTCAACTCTCTTCATGAAACGCGTAAAAATAGAGACGGAACGAAAGAAGAAAGGTTTATGAGTCCGGATGACTTAGATAGGGAACTTTTAAAACGGTCTCGGAATATATGAAATGCCAGCAGATGAGGTACAAGAAACTCCACAGGAAGAAGTTCAGATACAACCAGACATGGAAGAAATAGTTCAGCAACAACAGCTAGAAGAGCCTGAAGGAAACGAACAAGTCCCTCCTTTGGAAACTAACTTCACAGAACTAGATGAAGATTTGGAACAGCCGAAAATCTTGACCCTCAACAAGAGTATGAGGTGAATATGGAATCTTTCCAAGAGTCTAAGAAAAATTCGGCTGACATAGTAGAAGAATATCGAAAAATGTTTGCCGACATACAAAAGACTCCAACACCAGATGAAAATATTCAGCATAGAATGGAAGTACTGAAAGAAAATGTACGCAAATACAATAACCCTTTTTACTTACGACCATATAACGTTCAATCTTTGGCTGAACTCGGTGAAAATAAAAGGTTAAATTTCAACAAAACATATAGAAATGAAACATTGTTTAAAGTTCATTCAGAACCTAACCAATATGGAAACAAACCTACTTTTGTTTCTGCAGACTATGGAACTACAATGAGATGGGTCATAAAGCTAACCCGGATAGGTGGTTCATAAACTTACAACCTCAATTCCAAGAAGTTGTAGACGCAATGGAAGTGAATGGTGAACCAGATATAGCTGGTATTTTCAGCGCGGCTTTAATGCCATTGAAAGATATGAAACATGCAGATATTTTGAACCAGTATGAAATGAACATGGCTGATGGAAATATAACACCTGACGTTCTAGAACATTTATCTCAAAGAACTACACAGAACCATAAAGATGGTATATTTGGTGAAGAGTTTAGAAAGAAAGTTAGGGATAGAGAAGGAAGAGAACCTATTGTACATGACCTTGCAAACGAAAGTTTACAAAATGTCATAAAAACTTACTTTGCAGACAATGAAATGAGAAGGGATGAATATTTAAGAAAACTCAAATGGACAGTACCAAATGAAATGTTAGTATTGAAAAACATGTTCCTTGACAAAATAAAACCAACTACAGAAATAAATGACGCAAGACTGAAACGTTGGGTAAAAGCTTTCCCATTCACAAAAGATATTATTGGTTACATGGAAAGAAAACCAGAATGGCTACAAAAACATATATTTGGAAACGAGCTTATTCCATATGGACAAGCTATATTTGAAGAGCTTGAACCGGAAACTCAGGAAAGAGTCATGCAAACAATACGCGAAGACTCAAATACAAACTATGACAAACTCTTTCTAGGATATAGGTTACCTGAGATGGGCGACCAGAGCCCAAAGGCAAAAAGGACATGGGAAATTTACAACATACTAGTGAACATGAGGCAAAGATGCAACAACTTGAAGCAGAGGGCAAGTTACCAAAAGCGACACCAAAGAAGAAGAGAAGAGTAGAACAAAGTGAAAGTAGTGAAGAAGTAACTTCATCTAGTGAAAGTAGTGGCAATGAAGGAAAAAGAAGAGTTAAAAACTCAGTCAGGAAGAAAGTAAAGCTTGGTCCGAGTGGGTTCTATTATGACACATAAATCCAACTATTCTATATTTTTACCCATATGAAATGTACGCCGCTCAGAATATAACGCCAACAGTTTTGGATGCCATGAACGGAAATGTTTCCGAATGGTATAACGAATGCGACAATGCCATTAGAAGGTCAGAAATAGTTCCTGGAACTTACGAATATACAACTGCTGTTTCTTATGGAAACGTAGGTGAGTTTGGAGAAGGTTCTTCAACAACAGTAGATATTGCTTGCGACAGGTTTCATATTATTTCTATTGACAACTCTTTCTTATACGTGGAACAAGACATTGAAATAAAACCTTCTGCCAAGTTGTCTGACAAGAAAGGTTGCAATGGAATTTTCTATGTCGGATACCAATATGCTCCAGAAGTTTTCATGGGATATAAGATATATTCTAACTCTGACTTAGTTCAAACAGTAACATAGGCAAACTATGAATGGTTCGCTTTGAGAAACTCAGTACAACACAAGCTAGAGAACAAACAGACCAGTATGCCACCATTGAGAAAATAAGAAGACTTGACCCTAACGTTCCAGGAGTTTATGTTAACCTTTCTGGACAAACTGCAGCAGCAGTAACCAAAGTAAAACTGAAACTTAGAGTTCCTTTGTCATCTTTCCTCATCTTCAGGTTTTTAAGATACTTGCCAAACTGGGCAGGAAAAATTTCTATCGAACTTACTCCAAGCAAAAATAACTTAGTCATTGCACCAACACAAGACCCATTCACTATTACAGACGTAGAGGGAACAAATAAAACGTCATTCGCCGACTTTTGCAAAGACAAAGTTGACTTAGACTTTGGTTTCTCAAACTTCAACACTGAAGTAAACTATTATTTCAATGCTGCTGGAACTGCTTGGGACCCAGTTAAGTTCACATGCGAAAAATTTGAATGCAAGAGAATAGAAAGCAGACTTGCAGTCTATATGTTGGACCCAGATATTTCAAATGCTTTAGCTGCCAAATATATTGCAGTTCCACTTATGTTCCATATACACCAAATATCTGTCAAAGACTTTGCAGGTGAAGTTGGAAACCAAAGTGCTGACCCAGGTGCAAGAACAGATATTGCTTTAACAACTGCAATGAAACATGCAGATACTATGTTTGTACTGTTCAGACGAACTATAAATGACTATTCTTGTTTCTACAACCCCGGTATTAAATATCATATAAACATAGATGGCAAATATTATCCAAGAGAAGAATATTCTACAGTTGAAGATATGAGGTCATACAACTTGACATTAGATGCTATGAACTTTAACAACAACTTCACAACAACCATTAACCCTGAAATGCAAAGTTCTATTATGCCATATGTGAAAGTATGGACCCATACAGGAAGTCAAAAAACTCAATATACAAATGGAGACCGTTCAAACTTTTGGCTTGGCATTCCATTTGCTGACTCAGAAGACTTTATGGGTGGTATTTCAACTGTTGGTACAGTTCAAATACAATATACTGGTGACAGAGACGGTCCAGATGAATTGAAAGCAAAGAAGTTTACAAAACCAATAGCACTTTTCACGGAAGATGCTCTTTTGAAGATTCGTTCGATGAAACCTGCTGGGCTCCTCAGATTGGCATAACGACAGCTTCCATCGAGCAGATTTTGGCAGCAGGTCAGTAAGTTGTTCTTGAACTGACTTCTTCCGTCAAATATTGACAGTACGCCAGTTTTGACATAATATTGTATTATAAACTTACCTTTAGAAATATCTGTAAGTTTTGAAGTTATATTTTTGTCTGCTTCAAGAACTTTCACCATTTCAGTTATACCAACTTTCTTTGCTTTATGAAAATATTTTGGTTCAGCAAAGACTGCTATTCTATAACATTTTCCATTGTTTGTATAAAGAACTATTCTGTCAATGTATTTGTATTGTTTGTGTGTGTAAACTTTGTTTTGCTTCAATTCGAAGAGATACTCAAATACGTCCATCTTTTTATTCTAAGTAAAATGTCATTTCCGAAAAATAGAAGCGTAAGTGTTTCAAAAGGTTTAATGGCGGTGGCAGATGTGAAGTTAAATTCACCAACTCAAAAAAACAGTCAAAGTGTTATTGTCAATGTCAAAGACAGAGATGTTGAAGTGGGGAAACCATACGAAGACCAAGATGGTATAACAATTGTTCCTGTAAAAGAACCAACATATCCTGAAGTTAGCAGAGACTTAAGTTCTGTTGCAGATATTCGAAACGACTACCAACAACTGAAAGACAAACTTCAAACTCAGGAGAAGATTTGTCAAGCTTTAGGTATAATGTTAAACTTGGTCGAACACAACCCTGTAAAAGTGAACTCATATGTCATTGCACCTCATGAAGTTTTGAAAGAACTATTGAAACTTTTGACAGAGGCAGACGATATAAACATCAAAGAAATAGAACCCGACGTTAGTTGCTGTGGTGTTTCATATAATGTCATTGACAAGATATACGTTATGAAAGGAGGTGAAACGTTGAACTTAAAGTATAGTTTCCCAGACGTCATAAAAATATTTGACGACCACAACATTTCATTAAAATTTATTTGCTAAGTAAATGGCAGAAGACATAGTGGTTTATACTATTACGACTAAAAACCCTGAGTCATATAATTCTATAACAACAAACTTACAAAGTCCTCAAGGACGATATTGTAAACTAACTTTAAACACAATGACGACTAAAGCCTGTTTTGCTCTTTTGACACCAGAAGATTTTATTGTTGTGAATGGTAAAAAATACTCCTTTGAAGATATAGGGTGTCCAAAGGTGCGTTTAGCACAGCGCTCTATATGAGACTATTAAAGGAGATATATGCTGATTATAAATATAATAAAAAATATGAATATATGTATATGATGAGTATGTTGTATTTTGGCGCCATGCCGGGATATAAAATGAATTTTGAGACAAGAGGCGGTTTCGCGGGAAATTTTGGCGGGATTTTTTTCATTTTTTTAATGAATCATAAAGAAAACATCCTCGCTCTTGCAAAAAAATGCAAAGACTGTAAAAAAATCTACGAGACATTGGTAAAATGCTTCGGTATGGATGCTCCTAGCTATTCCACTGTAACGTATCATGTTAGGATGTATCACTTCATGAACAAAAAGGCGCCCATCATAAAAATTAACAAAAAATCGCCGGATCAAAGAAAAATCAAAGCAATTCTTCAAGCGCTAGATGAAGACCCAAGAGCATCACTCAGAAGGATAGAGGATGACAAAGATACACGTACAACAGTCAGTTATTATCTGCACAATTATTTGAACTACAAACTAGCGTATACACGTTGGGTTCCGCACAACCTTAATTCAGTTCAAAAAAAATCTAGAGTCCAATCTTCGAAAGAGCTCCTCTCTATATTGGGGTGCGTATCAATCCAAGAAGTTTCGCTTTTTAGTAACAGGGGACGAGTCTTGGTTTCAATATGCAACAGAAGCCAAAATCATGTGGATCCCGAAGGATGAAAATCCGCAAACATTCCGAAGAAAAAATTGACACACCAATGATGATGTTGTCGGTTTTTTGGGGCGTGAATGGCATCATCGCAATTGATATTCTTCAAAAACCTAATACGATGAATGCTCAGTATCTAATTGACAATGTTCTTACTCAATTATCAATTCTGATGAGTTTGAGAAATCCAAACAACAAAAACAAAAGTTTGCAATTCATTTTGATAATTCAAGAGTTCACAAAAGTCATAAGGTAATGAATTACTTGGTGGAAAACAATGTCAAAGTTGTTCCAAACCCAATTTATTCACCTGATATTGCACCCTCTGACTTTTATTTATTCGGCACGCTAAAAAAGAGAGCTGAAGGACGCGAATTCGCGAGTCCAGATGATCTTGAAAATTTTGTAAGAGCAATTTGAGCAATTTTCTCATGATGATTTAAAGCGTGTCTTTCAAGCCTGGATCGATCGCTGCGAACGCGTGATTGAATCCAATGGTGATTATATTTAAATAAACTTTATATATATGTAACTTGTTTATTTCTATTCGCAGTATTCAGGTTTGTGCTAAACACACCTTTGGACACCCTATACTTACTCAGATATACCACCAACAGGTTTTGTTGACTTATTTAATACTTTAAGTACGGGTGTAACATGTGCTGCAACTAGAGCAGGTTTCATTATGTTTGGATGTCCGACTGAGTTACTATAAACAATATGAGCTATAATACAAAACTTATATCTGGTTTTTACTACCAACAGTTTTCTATAACAGGAAAAGGTGTCATACAAGGAATGTCTATTCCATTGACTTTAAGTACACCTATTTTATATATTGTTTCAAACTTAGGTTCAAAGTGTTATTCGAATGTCGACAGAAACTACTATGACCAAAAGATACTTATGCGTATAAATAACACATTCTCTGCTGGTTTGCCTATTGTTCATTCGAATGCAGAGTTTTCAGCTTTAGTAAAACTCAAACACTTTAGCAAACATAAACTTAACCTTAGTTGACGCAAACTTTGTTCCTGTAAAACTTTTATGTCTATGTATTTGTCAATGACGGCAGAAAGTTTCGAATTGGAAGATGCGACTGGTGAAAGTATTGTATTACAAGAACAACTTCAACAACAAATAGCTCAAGAACAACAAATGCAACAAATAGCTCAAGAAACACAAATAGCTCAAGAATAAAAAAATATTTTTTTTATTTTTAATAAAATGTACAGAATAGATGTTTCAGATTTTTATGACTTCCAAGCGTTCAGAAATATGTGTCCATTTCGAGACTATAACAAAGCAGTCGAGAATTTGAAACGTTTAGTCATTTATGTCGACTCTGCCCCAGAATGTTATGTTATGAAAGAATGGTGTTGTGCATGAAAATTCGGTTCACTTCACTTCTGATAAAAGTGACAAGTTTACATGGCAAAATAGTTTACATGGCAAAATATATAGGGTATTTTTTTTAAAAGTAGTTATCTTTATATATAAAAATAAAACTTTTGATATATTTGAGTAAATGAAAAAAAAAGGTATTGGGGCTTCCAGGGGCTGCGCCCCTTCTAGCCCCGAAGATGTTTAGTATAAAATGAAGTTTTTATTCGGAAAATTGTTAGTCTTCTGGTGTGAATTCGGAGGACTCTTCTTGGATAGAGTCTTGTATTTCCTCCTCTTCTTCTTCTTCCTCCATTGCTTCTGGGAAGAAGCCTTCTTCTGGGTCGAAAACATTATATAATGTGTAATTGAATGACACATTATATCTTTGTTTGAGTTCGCTCCTGACAAAGAACTTAGTTCCAGGAATACAGAAGACTTCTGTGCGTTGGAAAAGCTGATGTCCTGGAACGAATTTGGCAATTAGAGACTTCTTTTTTCCGAATTGTTCAGGAGTTTCCATGACGACAGTAACAACATCTCCATCTGCGAGGTCTTGTTGTTGTTCGGAAAGGTAAAGAGCAATGATATGAATGGTTGCTGCGTTGAATTCGAGAAAGTCGAATTCAAATTGTGTTGTCGTATAGCATTCAAACCATTTTGTACAGTTGTCTCCGAACTCGTCAATGTATTCATCTTCGTCATATCCGTAACTAAAGACTTGGAATTCGGCAATTCTCTTGTCGAATGACCGTTGCATGTAACGAGGAAGATTTTGACGAACTTGGTATAAAGTTCTCAACATTATAAGCTTAGTAAATGTTGGAAAATACTGAACTAAGACATCGCTAAGCTCAATTGGACTTGGAATTGTCTTAGTAAGTTCAATTGAACTAGCAATTGCTTTGTTCAGAACTTCACAGAACTGAGTATTGTATGTAGCGTCTGGTTGTGTGTTTTCTTCGGCGTCTTTGAGATATTTAGAGCAAATTTGTTGAAGAATTTCTCTTAATTCGCTGTTAGACTTTTTGGTGGTTATTCTAACAGCTGTGCCAGTTCTTGGAGGTTGTGGGGCTTTGGCTTTGGTTAGCGGTTGAGAATTGTTAATGTTGGCTTCCATTAGACAAAAATAAACTGTTTTTTTCGGACTACTCATAGAAAAGTTTAAAATAAACCGTTTTCGTCAACGGTAACCCCCTCTATTTTTTTTATTTTATTGAAAAGTCTCCGTTGGCAAACCGTTCCATCTCAAATATTGAATGAACTATAAACGTTTTTTGTTTTCTATATATACTTTTTTGTCCAACGGTAAAACTTTTTACACAACGGTTTTGAGAGTCGTCGCCGTTGACTTTTTTGTAGAGCACTCAAAATAGTATAACTTTGTCCGGACAAGTAAGGGTCTATCGTCGCTACAGGAAAAGTTACAGGCGTTCCAAGGAAGTATACTTTGAGAAGCCTTTTCCCCTTATAGAATGAGAAGGACGGTTATTTTACAAAACTGACAACACTTTGACCGAGTAGTTTTTTGTGCTGAACAAAAAGTGTCATATAAACATCTGTCAAAAGCCGCTTTTTAACTTCACTTAAAATGCCACGTAAGCTACGTAAGAATATACGTAAGAGGAAGAGAGCATTGAAACATCCAATAGTAAAACTAACACCACAACAACAGTTGCAACAACAAATGCTGAATGACCCCACTATGTTGCAACAAATGTCAAGCAATCCTATGCTTTTAAACCGAGTTTCTTGGTGCACAGAGTGGAGGTTTAAGAGCGGCACTTTTAGCGAAAATGGCAGGCTATGGTGGAGCTGCAGACGGAACAGCATATAACCCTCAAAGTCAAATGAATTTGAGTTTACTCAAAAATCAAATATCAGATGTCAAAAAGTCAAACATAGACATACAGAAGCAAATAGGTGAAAACGAAAAGAAACTAGAATATGACAGACACACAAAGAAACTCAATGAGTTAAACGTAGAGAAAAAGAAGAAAGAAGAACAACTGAAAGAACTAAGTACAGAGGAATATGCGAAAAAAGTGTCAGAAAAAGCAACAGAAGTAGCAAAAATGGAACAAGATGTCATAAATTTGAAAAACCATACTACTCGATATAAAGTACTGAAAGATGAAGAGATAAAACAAAAAGCCCTGAAGACATATATGGATAGCGATGAGTATAAAAAAGAAGTTGAAGCAAATGTAAAGGCAGAAAAACTTTTACAGTTGCAAAACCAAACCGTACAGTATGAAAACTTAGCACAAGAAAGTAAAAATAACGACGCAGCCATGCAAAAGGCAATGAAAAGCGCAGAATATATAAAAGCTAACAATGACTGGTTAGATGCCCAAGCCAACGCTAAAGCAGCCCAACTTATAGGGTCAATAAGGACAAAAATACAAGCGGATGAAGACAGTTCAAATGAAGCTTTAATGAATGCTGACTTTAAGAACGCCTTCGAAGCTCTTCATAGTAAGGTGAAACTAGTGAACGACTTCTCATCTGGAAAGAAACTGAAGTCTGAAGGTTTCGACAACGAGTTAAGAGAAGTAGCACAAAATATGACGAAAATAACAGATGCAGCAACGAGACAGGCAGTTCAAAGTGCCTATGACGCCGTTAGAGCAACTGTTGTGGAAAGTCAAGAAAAAGAGTTACAACAGACCAAAACAGACCTAGTAAATGCTTTCTTAAAAACGAAAAGTCAGGTAGGACATTATGCTGCAGATGGAACATATGTGCCAGCTGGTGGAACTTATATACCACCAAACCCTCCAAGAGAAGCACCTGCACCAGGACTACCTAAAACATTTACATCGTCACATGGACACAGACACAAGCATGCACCAAAACCAACACAACAACCAACAGTTCAAAATCCAGCACAACAACAACAACCAGCACAACAACCACCTCCACAACCAGCACAGCAACCAACAGTTCAAAACCCTGCACAACAACAACCACAAACAGAGCAAGGACATAAAAGAAGTAGAGAACAAGGAAACCAAGAATTCTTAAAAATGCTAAAGGAAGATTATGGTTACTCAGATACTCTTGACTTTAGTGACAGATATAAAGAAGCTATTAGAAAGTTCAAGGAAGGAAATACTGACCCGAACCTATTTAGCTTTATGGCTCAGCACCAAATGGGATATAATTTCAAACCTGGAAAATACAAGCTCGCTAAGGGATATGATTTAATAGCATATCATCCAAATGACATGACTGAATTTACTCCGAGATATTTGGTGTCAGAGCTAAATGACAATTCAACTCTCTTCATGAAACGCGTAAAAAATAGAGACGGAACGAAAGAAGAAAGGTTTATGAGTCCGGATGACTTAGATAGGGAACTTGTTAAAAACGGTCTCGGAATATATGAAATGCCAGCAGATGAGGTACAAGAAACTCCACAGGAAGAAGTTCAGATACAACCAGACATGGAAGAAATAGTTCAGCAACAACAGCTAGAAGAGCCTGAAGGAAACGAACAAGTCCCTCCTTTGGAAACTAACTTCACAGAACTAGATGAAGATTTGGAACAGCCGAAAAATCTTGACCCTCAACAAGAGTATGAGGTGAATATGGAATCTTTCCAAGAGTCTAAGAAAAATTCGGCTGACATAGTAGAAGAATATCGAAAAATGTTTGCCGACATACAAAAGACTCCAACACCAGATGAAAATATTCAGCATAGAATGGAAGTACTGAAAGAAAATGTACGCAAATACAATAACCCTTTTTACTTACGACCATATAACGTTCAATCTTTGGCTGAACTCGGTGAAAATAAAAGGTTAAATTTCAACAAAACATATAGAAATGAAACATTGTTTAAAGTTCATTCAGAACCTAACCAAGATGGAAACAAACCTACTTTTGTTTCTGCAGACTATGGAACTACAATGAGATGGGGTCATAAAGCTAACCCGGATAGGTGGTTCATAAACTTACAACCTCAATTCCAAGAAGTTGTAGACGCAATGGAAGTGAATGGTGAACCAGATATAGCTGGTATTTTCAGCGCGGCTTTAATGCCATTGAAAGATATGAAACATGCAGATATTTTGAACCAGTATGAAATGAACATGGCTGATGGAAATATAACACCTGACGTTCTAGAACATTTATCTCAAAGAACTACACAGAACCATAAAGATGGTATATTTGGTGAAGAGTTTAGAAAGAAAGTTAGGGATAGAGAAGGAAGAGAACCTATTGTACATGACCTTGCAAACGAAAGTTTACAAAATGTCATAAAAACTTACTTTGCAGACAATGAAATGAGAAGGGATGAATATTTAAGAAAACTCAAATGGACAGTACCAAATGAAATGTTAGTATTGAAAAACATGTTCCTTGACAAAATAAAACCAACTACAGAAATAAATGACGCAAGACTGAAACGTTGGGTAAAAGCTTTCCCATTCACAAAAGATATTATTGGTTACATGGAAAGAAAACCAGAATAGCTACAAAAACATATATTTGGAAACGAGCTTATTCCATATGGACAAGCTATATTTGAAGAGCTTGAACCGGAAACTCAGGAAAGAGTCATGCAAACAATACGCGAAGACTCAAATACAAACTATGACAAACTCTTTCTAGGATATAGGTTACCTGAGATGGGCGACCAGAGCCCAAAGGCAAAAAGGACATGGGAAATTTACAACATACTAGGTGAACATGAGGCAAAGATGCAACAACTTGAAGCAGAGGGCAAGTTACCAAAAGCGACACCAAAGAAGAAGAGAAGAGTAGAACAAAGTGAAAGTAGTGAAGAAGTAACTTCATCTAGTGAAAGTAGTGGCAATGAAGGAAAAAGAAGAGTTAAAAACTCAGTCAGGAAGAAAGTAAAGCTTGGTCCGAGTGGGTTCTATTATGACACATAAATCCAACTATTCTATATTTTTACCCATATGAAATGTACGCCGCTCAGAATATAACGCCAACAGTTTTGGATGCCATGAACGGAAATGTTTCCGAATGGTATAACGAATGCGACAATGCCATTAGAAGGTCAGAAATAGTTCCTGGAACTTACGAATATACAACTGCTGTTTCTTATGGAAACGTAGGTGAGTTTGGAGAAGGTTCTTCAACAACAGTAGATATTGCTTGCGACAGGTTTCATATTATTTCTATTGACAACTCTTTCTTATACGTGGAACAAGACATTGAAATAAAACCTTCTGCCAAGTTGTCTGACAAGAAAGGTTGCAATGGAATTTTCTATGTCGGATACCAATATGCTCCAGAAGTTTTCATGGGATATAAGATATATTCTAACTCTGACTTAGTTCAAACAGTAACATGGGCAAACTATGAATGGTTCGCTTTGAGAAACTCAGTACAACCACAAGCTAGAGAACAAACAGACCAGTATGCCACCATTGAGAAAATAAGAAGACTTGACCCTAACGTTCCAGGAGTTTATGTTAACCTTTCTGGACAAACTGCAGCAGCAGTAACCAAAGTAAAACTGAAACTTAGAGTTCCTTTGTCATCTTTCCTCATCTTCAGGTTTTTAAGATACTTGCCAAACTGGGCAGGAAAAATTTCTATCGAACTTACTCCAAGCAAAAATAACTTAGTCATTGCACCAACACAAGACCCATTCACTATTACAGACGTAGAGGGAACAAATAAAACGTCATTCGCCGACTTTTGCAAAGACAAAGTTGACTTAGACTTTGGTTTCTCAAACTTCAACACTGAAGTAAACTATTATTTCAATGCTGCTGGAACTGCTTGGGACCCAGTTAAGTTCACATGCGAAAAATTTGAATGCAAGAGAATAGAAAGCAGACTTGCAGTCTATATGTTGGACCCAGATATTTCAAATGCTTTAGCTGCCAAATATATTGCAGTTCCACTTATGTTCCATATACACCAAATATCTGTCAAAGACTTTGCAGGTGAAGTTGGAAACCAAAGTGCTGACCCAGGTGCAAGAACGGATATTGCTTTAACAACTGCAATGAAACATGCAGATACTATGTTTGTACTGTTCAGACGAACTATAAATGACTATTCTTGTTTCTACAACCCCGGTATTAAATATCATATAAACATAGATGGCAAATATTATCCAAGAGAAGAATATTCTACAGTTGAAGATATGAGGTCATACAACTTGACATTAGATGCTATGAACTTTAACAACAACTTCACAACAACCATTAACCCTGAAATGCAAAGTTCTATTATGCCATATGTGAAAGTATGGACCCATACAGGAAGTCAAAAAACTCAATATACAAATGGAGACCGTTCAAACTTTTGGCTTGGCATTCCATTTGCTGACTCAGAAGACTTTATGGGTGGTATTTCAACTGTTGGTACAGTTCAAATACAATATACTGGTGACAGAGACGGTCCAGATGAATTGAAAGCAAAGAAGTTTACAAAACCAATAGCACTTTTCACGGAAGATGCTCTTTTGAAGATTCGTTCGATGAAACCTGCTGGGGCTCCTCAGATTGGCATAACGACAGCTTCCATCGAGCAGATTTTGGCAGCAGGTCAGTAAGTTGTTCTTGAACTGACTTCTCTCCGTCAAATATTGACAGTACGCCAGTTTTGACATAATATTGTATTATAAACTTACCTTTAGAAATATCTGTAAGTTTTGAAGTTATATTTTTGTCTGCTTCAAGAACTTTCACCATTTCAGTTATACCAACTTTCTTTGCTTTATGAAAATATTTTGGTTCAGCAAAGACTGCTATTCTATAACATTTTCCATTGTTTGTATAAAGAACTATTCTGTCAATGTATTTGTATTGTTTGTGTGTGTAAACTTTGTTTTGCTTCAATTCGAAGAGATACTCAAATACGTCCATCTTTTTATTCTAAGTAAAATGTCATTTCCGAAAAATAGAAGCGTAAGTGTTTCAAAAGGTTTAATGGCGGTGGCAGATGTGAAGTTAAATTCACCAACTCAAACAAACAGTCAAAGTGTTATTGTCAATGTCAAAGACAGAGATGTTGAAGTGGGGAAACCATACGAAGACCAAGATGGTATAACAATTGTTCCTGTAAAAGAACCAACATATCCTGAAGTTAGCAGAGACTTAAGTTCTGTTGCAGATATTCGAAACGACTACCAACAACTGAAAGACAAACTTCAAACTCAGGAGAAGATTTGTCAAGCTTTAGGTATAATGTTAAACTTGGTCGAACACAACCCTGTAAAAGTGAACTCATATGTCATTGCACCTCATGAAGTTTTGAAAGAACTATTGAAACTTTTGACAGAGGCAGACGATATAAACATCAAAGAAATAGAACCCGACGTTAGTTGCTGTGGTGTTTCATATAATGTCATTGACAAGATATACGTTATGAAAGGAGGTGAAACGTTGAACTTAAAGTATAGTTTCCCAGACGTCATAAAAATATTTGACGACCACAACATTTCATTAAAATTTATTTGCTAAGTAAATGGCAGAAGACATAGTGGTTTATACTATTACGACTAAAAACCCTGAGTCATATAATTCTATAACAACAAACTTACAAAGTCCTCAAGGACGATATTGTAAACTAACTTTAAACACAATGACGACTAAAGCCTGTTTTGCTCTTTTGACACCAGAAGATTTTATTGTTGTGAATGGTAAAAAATACTCCTTTGAAGATATAGGGTGTCCAAAGGTGCGTTTAGCACAGCGCTCTATATGAGACTATTAAAGGAGATATATGCTGATTATAAATATATAATAAAAAATATGAATATATGTATATGATGAGTATGTTGTATTTTGGCGCCATGCCGGGATATAAAATGAATTTTGAGACAAGAGGCGGTTTCGCGGGAAATTTTGGCGGGATTTTTTTCATTTTTTTAATGAATCATAAAGAAAACATCCTCGCTCTTGCAAAAAAATGCAAAGACTGTAAAAAAATCTACGAGACATTGGTAAAATGCTTCGGTATGGATGCTCCTAGCTATTCCACTGTAACGTATCATGTTAGGATGTATCACTTCATGAACAAAAAGGCGCCCATCATAAAAATTAACAAAAAATCGCCGGATCAAAGAAAAATCAAAGCAATTCTTCAAGCGCTAGATGAAGACCCAAGAGCATCACTCAGAAGGATAGAGGAGATGACAAAGATACCACGTACAACAGTCAGTTATTATCTGCACAATTATTTGAACTACAAACTAGCGTATACACGTTGGGTTCCGCACAACCTTAATTCAGTTCAAAAAAAATCTAGAGTCCAATCTTCGAAAGAGCTCCTCTCTATATTGGGTGCGTATCAATCCAAGAAGTTTCGCTTTTTAGTAACAGGGGACGAGTCTTGGTTTCAATATGCAACAGAAGCCAAAATCATGTGGATCCCGAAGGATGAAAATCCGCAAACATTCCCGAAGAAAAAAATTGACACACCAATGATGATGTTGTCGGTTTTTTGGGGCGTGAATGGCATCATCGCAATTGATATTCTTCAAAAACCTAATACGATGAATGCTCAGTATCTAATTGACAATGTTCTTACTCAAATTATCAATTCTGATGAGTTTGAGAAATCCAAACAACAAAAACAAAAGTTTGCAATTCATTTTGATAATTCAAGAGTTCACAAAAGTCATAAGGTAATGAATTACTTGGTGGAAAACAATGTCAAAGTTATTCCAAACCCAATTTATTCACCTGATATTGCACCCTCTGACTTTTATTTATTCGGCACGCTAAAAAAGAGAGCTGAAGGACGCGAATTCGCGAGTCCAGATGATCTTGAAAATTTTGTAAGAGAGCAATTTGAGCAATTTTCTCATGATGATTTAAAGCGTGTCTTTCAAGCCTGGATCGATCGCTGCGAACGCGTGATTGAATCCAATGGTGATTATATTTAAATAAACTTTATATATATGTAACTTGTTTATTTCTATTCGCAGTATTCAGGTTTGTGCTAAACACACCTTTGGACACCCTATACTTACTCAGATATACCACCAACAGGTTTTGTTGACTTATTTAATACTTTAAGTACGGGTGTAACATGTGCTGCAACTAGAGCAGGTTTCATTATGTTTGGATGTCCGACTGAGTTTACTATAAACAATATGAGCTATAATACAAAACTTATATCTGGTTTTTACTACCAACAGTTTCCTATAACAGGAAAAGGTGTCATACAAGGAATGTCTATTCCATTGACTTTAAGTACACCTATTTTATATATTGTTTCAAACTTAGGTTCAAAGTGTTATTCGAATGTCGACAGAAACTACTATGACCAAAAGATACTTATGCGTATAAATAACACATTCTCTGCTGGTTTGCCTATTGTTCATTCGAATGCAGAGTTTTCAGCTTTAGTAAACTCAAACACTTTAGCAAACATAAACTTAACCTTAGTTGACGCAAACTTTGTTCCTGTAAAACTTTTATGTCCTATGTATTTGTCAATGACGGCAGAAAGTTTCGAATTGGAAGATGCGACTGGTGAAAGTATTGTATTACAAGAACAACTTCAACAACAAATAGCTCAAGAACAACAAATGCAACAAATAGCTCAAGAACAACAAATAGCTCAAGAATAAAAAAATATTTTTTTTATTTTTATAAAAATGTACAGAATAGATGTTTCAGATTTTTATGACTTCCAAGCGTTCAGAAATATGTGTCCATTTCGAGACTATAACAAAGCAGTCGAGAATTTGAAACGTTTAGTCATTTATGTCGACTCTGCCCCAGAATGTTATGTTATGAAAGAATGGTGTTGTGCATGAAAATTCGGTTCACTTCACTTCTGATAAAAGTGACAAGTTTACATGGCAAAATAGTTTACATGGCAAAATATATAGGGTATTTTTTTTAAAAGTAGTTATCTTTATATATAAAAATAAAACTTTTGATATATTTGAGTAAATGAAAAAAAAAGGTATTGGGGCTTCCAGGGGCTGCGCCCCTTCTAGCCCCGAAGATGTTTAGTATAAAATGAAGTTTTTATTCGGAAAATTGTTAGTCTTCTGGTGTGAATTCGGAGGACTCTTCTTGGATAGAGTCTTGTATTTCCTCCTCTTCTTCTTCTTCCTCCATTGCTTCTGGGAAGAAGCCTTCTTCTGGGTCGAAAACATTATATAATGTGTAATTGAATGACACATTATATCTTTGTTTGAGTTCGCTCCTGACAAAGAACTTAGTTCCAGGAATACAGAAGACTTCTGTGCGTTGGAAAAGCTGATGTCCTGGAACGAATTTGGCAATTAGAGACTTCTTTTTCCGAATTGTTCAGGAGTTTCCATGACGACAGTAACAACATCTCCATCTGCGAGGTCTTGTTGTTGTTCGGAAAGGTAAAGAGCAATGATATGAATGGTTGCTGCGTTGAATTCGAGAAAGTCGAATTCAAATTGTGTTGTCGTATAGCATTCAAACCATTTTGTACAGTTGTCTCCGAACTCGTCAATGTATTCATCTTCGTCATATCCGTAACTAAAGACTTGGAATTCGGCAATTCTCTTGTCGAATGACCGTTGCATGTAACGAGGAAGATTTTGACGAACTTGGTATAAAGTTCTCAACATTATAAGCTTAGTAAATGTTGGAAAATACTGAACTAAGACATCGCTAAGCTCAATTGGACTTGGAATTGTCTTAGTAAGTTCAATTGAACTAGCAATTGCTTTGTTCAGAACTTCACAGAACTGAGTATTGTATGTAGCGTCTGGTTGTGTGTTTTCTTCGGCGTCTTTGAGATATTTAGAGCAAATTTGTTGAAGAATTTCTCTTAATTCGCTGTTAGACTTTTTGGTGGTTATTCTAACAGCTGTGCCAGTTCTTGGAGGTTGTGGGGCTTTGGCTTTGGTTAGCGGTTGAGAATTGTTAATGTTGGCTTCCATTAGACAAGAATAAACTGTTTTTTTCGGACTACTCATAGAAAAGTTTAAAATAAACCGTTTTCGTCAACGGTAACCCCCTCTATTTTTTTTATTTTATTGAAAAGTCTCCGTTGGCAAACCGTTCCATCTCAAATATTGAATGAACTATAAACGTTTTTTGTTTTCTATATATACTTTTTTGTCCAACGGTAAAACTTTTTACACAACGGTTTTGAGAGTCGTCGCCGTTGACTTTTTTGTAGAGCACTCAAAATAGTATAACTTTGTCCGGACAAGTAAGGGTCTATCGTCGCTACAGGAAAAGTTACAGGCGTTCCAAGGAAGTATACTTTGAGAAGCCTTTTCCCCTTATAGAATGAGATAGGACGGTTATTTTACAAAACTGACAACACTTTGACCGAGTAGTTTTTTGTGCTGAACAAAAAGTGTCATATAAACATCTGTCAAAAGCCGCTTTTTAACTTCACTTAAAATGCCACGTAAGCTACGTAAGAATATACGTAAGAGGAAGAGAGCATTGAAACATCCAATAGTAAAACTAACACCACAACAACAGTTGCAACAACAAATGCTGAATGACCCCACTATGTTGCAACAAATGTCAAGCAATCCTATGCTTTTAAACCGAGTTCTTGGTGCACAGAGTGGAGGTTTAAGAGCGGCACTTTTAGCGAAAATGGCAGGCTATGGTGGAGCTGCAGACGGAACAGCATATAACCCTCAAAGTCAAATGAATTTGAGTTTACTCAAAAATCAAATATCAGATGTCAAAAAGTCAAACATAGACATACAGAAGCAAATAGGTGAAAACGAAAAGAAACTAGAATATGACAGACACACAAAGAAACTCAATGAGTTAAACGTAGAGAAAAAGAAGAAAGAAGAACAACTGAAAGAACTAAGTACAGAGGAATATGCGAAAAAAGTGTCAGAAAAAGCAACAGAAGTAGCAAAAATGGAACAAGATGTCATAAATTTGAAAAACCATACTACTCGATATAAAGTACTGAAAGATGAAGAGATAAAACAAAAAGCCCTGAAGACATATATGGATAGCGATGAGTATAAAAAAGAAGTTGAAGCAAATGTAAAGGCAGAAAAACTTTTACAGTTGCAAAACCAAACCGTACAGTATGAAAACTTAGCACAAGAAAGTAAAAATAACGACGCAGCCATGCAAAAGGCAATGAAAAGCGCAGAATATATAAAAGCTAACAATGACTGGTTAGATGCCCAAGCCAACGCTAAAGCAGCCCAACTTATAGGGTCAATAAGGACAAAAATACAAGCGGATGAAGACAGTTCAAATGAAGCTTTAATGAATGCTGACTTTAAGAACGCCTTCGAAGCTCTTCATAGTAAGGTGAAACTAGTGAACGACTTCTCATCTGGAAAGAAACTGAAGTCTGAAGGTTTCGACAACGAGTTAAGAGAAGTAGCACAAAATATGACGAAAATAACAGATGCAGCAACGAGACAGGCAGTTCAAAGTGCCTATGACGCCGTTAGAGCAACTGTTGTGGAAAGTCAAGAAAAAGAGTTACAACAGACCAAAACAGACCTAGTAAATGCTTTCTTAAAAACGAAAAGTCAGGTAGGACATTATGCTGCAGATGGAACATATGTGCCAGCTGGTGGAACTTATATACCACCAAACCCTCCAAGAGAAGCACCTGCACCAGGACTACCTAAAACATTTACATCGTCACATGGACACAGACACAAGCATGCACCAAAACCAACACAACAACCAACAGTTCAAAATCCAGCACAACAACAACAACCAGCACAACAACCACCTCCACAACCAGCACAGCAACCAACAGTTCAAAACCCTGCACAACAACAACCACAAACAGAGCAAGGACATAAAAGAAGTAGAGAACAAGGAAACCAAGAATTCTTAAAAATGCTAAAGGAAGATTATGGTTACTCAGATACTCTTGACTTTAGTGACAGATATAAAGAAGCTATTAGAAAGTTCAAGGAAGGAAATACTGACCCGAACCTATTTAGCTTTATGGCTCAGCACCAAATGGGATATAATTTCAAACCTGGAAAATACAAGCTCGCTAAGGGATATGATTTAATAGCATATCATCCAAATGACATGACTGAATTTACTCCGAGATATTTGGTGTCAGAGCTAAATGACAATTCAACTCTCTTCATGAAACGCGTAAAAAATAGAGACGGAACGAAAGAAGAAAGGTTTATGAGTCCGGATGACTTAGATAGGGAACTTGTTAAAAACGGTCTCGGAATATATGAAATGCCAGCAGATGAGGTACAAGAAACTCCACAGGAAGAAGTTCAGATACAACCAGACATGGAAGAAATAGTTCAGCAACAACAGCTAGAAGAGCCTGAAGGAAACGAACAAGTCCCTCCTTTGGAAACTAACTTCACAGAACTAGATGAAGATTTGGAACAGCCGAAAAATCTTGACCCTCAACAAGAGTATGAGGTGAATATGGAATCTTTCCAAGAGTCTAAGAAAAATTCGGCTGACATAGTAGAAGAATATCGAAAAATGTTTGCCGACATACAAAAGACTCCAACACCAGATGAAAATATTCAGCATAGAATGGAAGTACTGAAAAGAAAATGTACGCAAATACAATAACCCTTTTTACTTACGACCATATAACGTTCAATCTTTGGCTGAACTCGGTGAAAATAAAAGGTTAAATTTCAACAAAACATATAGAAATGAAACATTGTTTAAAGTTCATTCAGAACCTAACCAAGATGGAAACAAACCTACTTTTGTTTCTGCAGACTATGGAACTACAATGAGATGGGTCATAAAGCTAACCCGGATAGGTGGTTCATAAACTTACAACCTCAATTCAAGAAGTTGTAGACGCAATGGAAGTGAATGCGTGAACCAGATATAGCTGGTATTTTCAGCCGGCTTTAATGCCATTGAAAGATATGAAACATGCAGATATTTTGAACCAGTATGAAATGAACATGGCTGATGAAATATAACACCTGACGTTCTAGAACATTTATCTCAAAGAACTACACAGAACCATAAAGATGGTATATTTGGTGAAGAGTTTAGAAAGAAAGTTAGGGATAGAGAAGGAAGAGAACCTATTGTACATGACCTTGCAAACGAAAGTTTACAAAATGTCATAAAAACTTACTTTGCAGACAATGAAATGAGAAGGATGAATATTTAAGAAAACTCAAATGGACAGTACCAAATGAAATGTTAGTATTGAAAAACATGTTCCTTGACAAAAATAAAACCAACTACAGAAATAAATGACGCAAGACTGAAACGTTGGGTAAAAGCTTTCCCATTCACAAAAGATATTATTGGTTACATGGAAAGAAAACCAGAATAGCTACAAAAACATATATTTGGAAACGAGCTTATTCCATATGGACAAGCTATTTTGAAAGAGCTTGAACCGGAAACTCAGGAAAGAGTCATGCAAACAATACGCGAAGACTCAAATACAAACTATTGACAAACTCTTTCTAGGATATAGGTTACCTGAGATGGCGACCAGAGCCCAAAGGCAAAAAGGACAGGCGAAATTTACAACATACTAGGTGAACATGAGGCAAAGATGCAACAACTTGAAGCAGAGGGCAAGTTACCAAAAGCGACACCAAAGAAGAAGAGAAGAGTAGACAAAGTGAAAGTAGTGAAGAAGTAACTTCATCTAGTGAAAGTAGTGGCAATGAAGGAAAAGAAGAGTTAAAAACTCAGTCAGGAAGAAGTAAAGCTTGGTCCGAGTGGGTTCTATTATGACACATAAAATCCAACTATTCTATATTTTTACCCATATGAAAATGTACGCCGCTCAGAATATAACGCCAACAGTTTTGGATGCCATGAACGGAAATGTTTCCGAATGGTATAACGAATGCGACAATGCCATTAGAAGGTCAGAAATAGTTCCTGGAACTTACGAATATACAACTGCTGTTTCTTATGGAAACGTAGGTGAGTTTTGGAGAAGGTTCTTCAACAACAGTAGATATTGCTTGCGACAGGTTTCATATTATTTCTATTGACAACTCTTTCTTATACGTGGAACAAGACATTGAAATAAAACCTTCTGCCAAGTTGTCTGACAAGAAAGGTTGCAATGGAATTTTCTATGTCGGATACCAATATGCTCCAGAAGTTTTCATGGGATATAAGATATATTCTAACTCTGACTTAGTTCAAACAGTAACATGGGCAAACTATGAATGGTTCGCTTTGAGAAACTCAGTACAACCACAAGCTAGAGAACAAACAGACCAGTATGCCACCATTGAGAAAATAAGAAGACTTGACCCTAACGTTCCAGGAGTTTATGTTAACCTTTCTGGACAAACTGCAGCAGCAGTAACCAAAGTAAAACTGAAACTTAGAGTTCCTTTGTCATCTTTCCTCATCTTCAGGTTTTTAAGATACTTGCCAAACTGGGCAGGAAAAATTTCTATCGAACTTACTCCAAGCAAAAATAACTTAGTCATTGCACCAACACAAGACCCATTCACTATTACAGACGTAGAGGGAACAAATAAAACGTCATTCGCCGACTTTTGCAAAGACAAAGTTGACTTAGACTTTGGTTTCTCAAACTTCAACACTGAAGTAAACTATTATTTCAATGCTGCTGGAACTGCTTGGGACCCAGTTAAGTTCACATGCGAAAAATTTGAATGCAAGAGAATAGAAAGCAGACTTGCAGTCTATATGTTGGACCCAGATATTTCAAATGCTTTAGCTGCCAAATATATTGCAGTTCCACTTATGTTCCATATACACCAAATATCTGTCAAAGACTTTGCAGGTGAAGTTGGAAACCAAAGTGCTGACCCAGGTGCAAGAACGATATTGCTTTAACAACTGCAATGAAACATGCAGATACTATGTTTGTACTGTTCAGACGAACTATAAATGACTATTCTTGTTTCTACAACCCCGGTATTAAATATCATATAAACATAGATGGCAAATATTATCCAAGAGAAGAATATTCTACAGTTGAAGATATGAGGTCATACAACTTGACATTAGATGCTATGAACTTTAACAACAACTTCACAACAACCATTAACCCTGAAATGCAAAGTTCTATTATGCCATATGTGAAAGTATGGACCCATACAGGAAGTCAAAAAACTCAATATACAAATGGAGACCGTTCAAACTTTTGGCTTGGCATTCCATTTGCTGACTCAGAAGACTTTATGGGTGGTATTTCAACTGTTGGTACAGTTCAAATACAATATACTGGTGACAGAGACGGTCCAGATGAATTGAAAGCAAAGAAGTTTACAAAACCAATAGCACTTTTCACGGAAGATGCTCTTTTGAAGATTCGTTCGATGAAACCTGCTGGGGCTCCTCAGATTGGCATAACGACAGCTTCCATCGAGCAGATTTTGGCAGCAGGTCAGTAAGTTGTTCTTGAACTGACTTCTCTCCGTCAAATATTGACAGTACGCCAGTTTTGACATAATATTGTATTATAAACTTACCTTTAGAAATATCTGTAAGTTTTGAAGTTATATTTTTGTCTGCTTCAAGAACTTTCACCATTTCAGTTATACCAACTTTCTTTGCTTTATGAAAATATTTTGGTTCAGCAAAGACTGCTATTCTATAACATTTTCCATTGTTTGTATAAAGAACTATTCTGTCAATGTATTTGTATTGTTTGTGTGTGTAAACTTTGTTTTGCTTCAATTCGAAGAGATACTCAAATACGTCCATCTTTTTATTCTAAGTAAAATGTCATTTCCGAAAAATAGAAGCGTAAGTGTTTCAAAAGGTTTAATGGCGGTGGCAGATGTGAAGTTAAATTCACCAACTCAAACAAACAGTCAAAGTGTTATTGTCAATGTCAAAGACAGAGATGTTGAAGTGGGGAAACCATACGAAGACCAAGATGGTATAACAATTGTTCCTGTAAAAGAACCAACATATCCTGAAGTTAGCAGAGACTTAAGTTCTGTTGCAGATATTCGAAACGACTACCAACAACTGAAAGACAAACTTCAAACTCAGGAGAAGATTTGTCAAGCTTTAGGTATAATGTTAAACTTGGTCGAACACAACCCTGTAAAAGTGAACTCATATGTCATTGCACCTCATGAAGTTTTGAAAGAACTATTGAAACTTTTGACAGAGGCAGACGATATAAACATCAAAGAAATAGAACCCGACGTTAGTTGCTGTGGTGTTTCATATAATGTCATTGACAAGATATACGTTATGAAAGGAGGTGAAACGTTGAACTTAAAGTATAGTTTCCCAGACGTCATAAAAATATTTGACGACCACAACATTTCATTAAAATTTATTTGCTAAGTAAATGGCAGAAGACATAGTGGTTTATACTATTACGACTAAAAACCCTGAGTCATATAATTCTATAACAACAAACTTACAAAGTCCTCAAGGACGATATTGTAAACTAACTTTAAACACAATGACGACTAAAGCCTGTTTTGCTCTTTTGACACCAGAAGATTTTATTGTTGTGAATGGTAAAAAATACTCCTTTGAAGATATAGGGTGTCCAAAGGTGCGTTTAGCACAGCGCTCTATATGAGACTATTAAAGGAGATATATGCTGATTATAAATATATAATAAAAAATATGAATATATGTATATGATGAGTATGTTGTATTTTGGCGCCATGCCGGGATATAAAATGAATTTTGAGACAAGAGGCGGTTTCGCGGGAAATTTTGGCGGGATTTTTTTCATTTTTTTAATGAATCATAAAGAAAACATCCTCGCTCTTGCAAAAAATGCAAAGACTGTAAAAAAATCTACGAGACATTGGTAAAATGCTTCGGTATGGATGCTCCTAGCTATTCCACTGTAACGTATCATGTTAGGATGTATCACTTCATGAACAAAAAGGCGCCCATCATAAAAATTAACAAAAAATCGCCGGATCAAAGAAAAATCAAAGCAATTCTTCAAGCGCTAGATGAAGACCCAAGAGCATCACTCAGAAGGATAGAGGAGATGACAAAGATACCACGTACAACAGTCAGTTATTATCTGCACAATTATTTGAACTACAAACTAGCGTATACACGTTGGGTTCCGCACAACCTTAATTCAGTTCAAAAAAAATCTAGAGTCCAATCTTCGAAAGAGCTCCTCTCTATATTGGGTGCGTATCAATCCAAGAAGTTTCGCTTTTTAGTAACAGGGGACGAGTCTTGGTTTCAATATGCAACAGAAGCCAAAATCATGTGGATCCCGAAGGATGAAAATCCGCAAACATTCCCGAAGAAAAAAATTGACACACCAATGATGATGTTGTCGGTTTTTTGGGGCGTGAATGGCATCATCGCAATTGATATTCTTCAAAAACCTAATACGATGAATGCTCAGTATCTAATTGACAATGTTCTTACTCAAATTATCAATTCTGATGAGTTTGAGAAATCCAAACAACAAAAACAAAAGTTTGCAATTCATTTTGATAATTCAAGAGTTCACAAAAGTCATAAGGTAATGAATTACTTGGTGGAAAACAATGTCAAAGTTATTCCAAACCCAATTTATTCACCTGATATTGCACCCTCTGACTTTTATTTATTCGGCACGCTAAAAAAGAGAGCTGAAGGACGCGAATTCGCGAGTCCAGATGATCTTGAAAATTTTGTAAGAGAGCAATTTGAGCAATTTTCTCATGATGATTTAAAGCGTGTCTTTCAAGCCTGGATCGATCGCTGCGAACGCGTGATTGAATCCAATGGTGATTATATTTAAATAAACTTTATATATATGTAACTTGTTTATTTCTATTCGCAGTATTCAGGTTTGTGCTAAACACACCTTTGGACACCCTATACTTACTCAGATATACCACCAACAGGTTTTGTTGACTTATTTAATACTTTAAGTACGGGTGTAACATGTGCTGCAACTAGAGCAGGTTTCATTATGTTTGGATGTCCGACTGAGTTTACTATAAACAATATGAGCTATAATACAAAACTTATATCTGGTTTTTACTACCAACAGTTTCCTATAACAGGAAAAGGTGTCATACAAGGAATGTCTATTCCATTGACTTTAAGTACACCTATTTTATATATTGTTTCAAACTTAGGTTCAAAGTGTTATTCGAATGTCGACAGAAACTACTATGACCAAAAGATACTTATGCGTATAAATAACACATTCTCTGCTGGTTTGCCTATTGTTCATTCGAATGCAGAGTTTTCAGCTTTAGTAAACTCAAACACTTTAGCAAACATAAACTTAACCTTAGTTGACGCAAACTTTGTTCCTGTAAAACTTTTATGTCCTATGTATTTGTCAATGACGGCAGAAAGTTTCGAATTGGAAGATGCAACTGGTGAAAGTATTGTATTACAAGAACAACTTCAACAACAAATAGCTCAAGAACAACAAATGCAACAAATAGCTCAAGAACAACAAATAGCTCAAGAATAAAAAAATATTTTTTTTTATTTTTATAAAAATGTACAGAATAGATGTTTCAGATTTTTATGACTTCCAAGCGTTCAGAAATATGTGTCCATTTCGAGACTATAACAAAGCAGTCGAGAATTTGAAACGTTTAGTCATTTATGTCGACTCTGCCCCAGAATGTTATGTTATGAAAGAATGGTGTTGTGCATGAAAATTCGGTTCACTTCACTTCTGATAAAAGTGACAAGTTTACATGGCAAAATAGTTTACATGGCAAAATATATAGGGTATTTTTTTTAAAAGTAGTTATCTTTATATATAAAAATAAAACTTTTGATATATTTGAGTAAATGAAAAAAAAAGGTATTGGGGCTTCCAGGGGCTGCGCCCCTTCTAGCCCCGAAGATGTTTAGTATAAAATGAAGTTTTTATTCGGAAAATTGTTAGTCTTCTGGTGTGAATTCGGAGGACTCTTCTTGGATAGAGTCTTGTATTTCCTCCTCTTCTTCTTCTTCCTCCATTGCTTCTGGGAAGAAGCCTTCTTCTGGGTCGAAAACATTATATAATGTGTAATTGAATGACACATTATATCTTTGTTTGAGTTCGCTCCTGACAAAGAACTTAGTTCCAGGAATACAGAAGACTTCTGTGCGTTGGAAAAGCTGATGTCCTGGAACGAATTTGGCAATTAGAGACTTCTTTTTTCCGAATTGTTCAGGAGTTTCCATGACGACAGTAACAACATCTCCATCTGCGAGGTCTTGTTGTTGTTCGGAAAGGTAAAGAGCAATGATATGAATGGTTGCTGCGTTGAATTCGAGAAAGTCGAATTCAAATTGTGTTGTCGTATAGCATTCAAACCATTTTGTACAGTTGTCTCCGAACTCGTCAATGTATTCATCTTCGTCATATCCGTAACTAAAGACTTGGAATTCGGCAATTCTCTTGTCGAATGACCGTTGCATGTAACGAGGAAGATTTTGACGAACTTGGTATAAAGTTCTCAACATTATAAGCTTAGTAAATGTTGGAAAATACTGAACTAAGACATCGCTAAGCTCAATTGGACTTGGAATTGTCTTAGTAAGTTCAATTGAACTAGCAATTGCTTTGTTCAGAACTTCACAGAACTGAGTATTGTATGTAGCGTCTGGTTGTGTGTTTTCTTCGGCGTCTTTGAGATATTTAGAGCAAATTTGTTGAAGAATTTCTCTTAATTCGCTGTTAGACTTTTTGGTGGTTATTCTAACAGCTGTGCCAGTTCTTGGAGGTTGTGGGGCTTTGGCTTTGGTTAGCGGTTGAGAATTGTTAATGTTGGCTTCCATTAGACAAAATAAACTGTTTTTTTCGGACTACTCATAGAAAAGTTTAAAATAAACCGTTTTCGTCAACGGTAACCCCTCTATTTTTTTTATTTTATTGAAAAGTCTCCGTTGGCAAACCGTTCCATCTCAAATATTGAATGAACTATAAACGTTTTTTGTTTTCTATATATACTTTTTTGTCCAACGGTAAAACTTTTTACACAACGGTTTTGAGAGTCGTCGCCGTTGACTTTTTTGTAGAGCACTCAAAATAGTATAACTTTGTCCGGACAAGTAAGGGTCTATCGTCGCTACAGGAAAAGTTACAGGCGTTCCAAGGAAGTATACTTTGAGAAGCCTTTTCCCCTTATAGAATGAGATAGGACGGTTATTTTACAAAACTGACAACACTTTGACCGAGTAGTTTTTTGTGCTGAACAAAAAGTGTCATATAAACATCTGTCAAAAGCCGCTTTTTAACTTCACTTAAAATGCCACGTAAGCTACGTAAGAATATACGTAAGAGGAAGAGAGCATTGAAACATCCAATAGTAAAAACTAACACCACAACAACAGTTGCAACAACAAATGCTGAATGACCCCACTATGTTGCAACAAATGTCAAGCAATCCTATGCTTTTAAACCGAGTTCTTGGTGCACAGAGTGGAGGTTTAAGAGCGGCACTTTTAGCGAAAATGGCAGGCTATGGTGGAGCTGCAGACGGAACAGCATATAACCCTCAAAGTCAAATGAATTTGAGTTTACTCAAAAATCAAATATCAGATGTCAAAAAGTCAAACATAGACATACAGAAGCAAATAGGTGAAAACGAAAAGAAACTAGAATATGACAGACACACAAAGAAACTCAATGAGTTAAACGTAGAGAAAAAGAAGAAAGAAGAACAACTGAAAGAACTAAGTACAGAGGAATATGCGAAAAAAGTGTCAGAAAAAGCAACAGAAGTAGCAAAAATGGAACAAGATGTCATAAATTTGAAAAACCATACTACTCGATATAAAGTACTGAAAGATGAAGAGATAAAACAAAAAGCCCTGAAGACATATATGGATAGCGATGAGTATAAAAAAGAAGTTGAAGCAAATGTAAAGGCAGAAAAACTTTTACAGTTGCAAAACCAAACCGTACAGTATGAAAACTTAGCACAAGAAAGTAAAAATAACGACGCAGCCATGCAAAAGGCAATGAAAAGCGCAGAATATATAAAAGCTAACAATGACTGGTTAGATGCCCAAGCCAACGCTAAAGCAGCCCAACTTATAGGGTCAATAAGGACAAAAAATACAAGCGGATGAAGACAGTTCAAATGAAGCTTTAATGAATGCTGACTTTAAGAACGCCTTCGAAGCTCTTCATAGTAAGGTGAAACTAGTGAACGACTTCTCATCTGGAAAGAAACTGAAGTCTGAAGGTTTCGACAACGAGTTAAGAGAAGTAGCACAAAATATGACGAAAATAACAGATGCAGCAACGAGACAGGCAGTTCAAAGTGCCTATGACGCCGTTAGAGCAACTGTTGTGGAAAGTCAAGAAAAAGAGTTACAACAGACCAAAACAGACCTAGTAAATGCTTTCTTAAAAACGAAAAGTCAGGTAGGACATTATGCTGCAGATGGAACATATGTGCCAGCTGGTGGAACTTATATACCACCAAACCCTCCAAGAGAAGCACCTGCACCAGGACTACCTAAAACATTTACATCGTCACATGGACACAGACACAAGCATGCACCAAAACCAACACAACAACCAACAGTTCAAAATCCAGCACAACAACAACAACCAGCACAACAACCACCTCCACAACCAGCACAGCAACCAACAGTTCAAAACCCTGCACAACAACAACCACAAACAGAGCAAGGACATAAAAGAAGTAGAGAACAAGGAAACCAAGAATTCTTAAAAATGCTAAAGGAAGATTATGGTTACTCAGATACTCTTGACTTTAGTGACAGATATAAAGAAGCTATTAGAAAGTTCAAGGAAGGAAATACTGACCGAACCTATTTAGCTTTATGGCTCAGCACCAAATGGGATATAATTTCAAACCTGGAAAATACAAGCTCGCTAAGGGATATGATTTAATAGCATATCATCCAAATGACATGACTGAATTTACTCCGAGATATTTGGTGTCAGAGCTAAATGACAATTCAACTCTCTTCATGAAACGCGTAAAAAATAGAGACGGAACGAAAGAAGAAGGTTTATGAGTCCGGATGACTTAGATAGGGAACTTGTTAAAAACGGTCTCGGAATATATGAAATGCCAGCAGATGAGGTACAAGAAACTCCACAGGAAGAAGTTCAGATACAACCAGACATGGAAGAAATAGTTCAGCAACAACAGCTAGAAGAGCCTGAAGGAAACGAACAAGTCCCTCCTTTGGAAACTAACTTCACAGAACTAGATGAAGATTTGGAACAGCCGAAAAATCTTGACCCTCAACAAGAGTATGAGGTGAATATGGAATCTTTCCAAGAGTCTAAGAAAAATTCGGCTGACATAGTAGAAGAATATCGAAAAATGTTTGCCGACATACAAAAGACTCCAACACCAGATGAAAATATTCAGCATAGAATGGAAGTACTGAAAGAAAATGTACGCAAATACAATAACCCTTTTTACTTACGACCATATAACGTTCAATCTTTGGCTGAACTCGGTGAAAATAAAAGGTTAAATTTCAACAAAACATATAGAAATGAAACATTGTTTAAAGTTCATTCAGAACCTAACCAAGATGGAAACAAACCTACTTTTGTTTCTGCAGACTATGGAACTACAATGAGATGGGGTCATAAAGCTAACCCGGATAGGTGGTTCATAAACTTACAACCTCAATTCCAAGAAGTTGTAGACGCAATGGAAGTGAATGGTGAACCAGATATAGCTGGTATTTTCAGCGCGGCTTTAATGCCATTGAAAGATATGAAACATGCAGATATTTTGAACCAGTATGAAATGAACATGGCTGATGGAAATATAACACCTGACGTTCTAGAACATTTATCTCAAAGAACTACACAGAACCATAAAGATGGTATATTTGGTGAAGAGTTTAGAAAAAAGTTAGGGATAGAGAAGGAAGAGAACCTATTGTACATGACCTTGCAAACGAAAGTTTGCAAAATGTCATAAAAACTTACTTTGCAGACAATGAACTGAGAAGGGATGAATATTTAAGAAAACTCAAATGGACAGTACCAAATGAAAGTTAGTATTGAAAAACATGTTCCTTGACAAAATAAAACCAACTACAGAAATAAATATTCTTACCAAGGTTAAGAAGCTTCTATTGACATGTTTGACTAAGAAGTGAATGTTGAAGAAATAGAGCCGCTTAACTTTATAAGAAATTTATTTTTGATATAAATGGATGGGTTCTATTAGGCGCGATCACATGTCACAGGTTCATTAACTTCTTTAAAAATTGATGACAACAATGACAGATTTGACAACATGTCCTCGGGAAACAAATGTTTACGTTAACTAGTTTCACGATGTCTGTAGGAGAGGAATATATCAGGGATGTACGGGGCACTTTAACTCACACTAACTTGACGTATATGAGAAAGCACGATTCTCTTCGGCGATTATGGATCGCACCATGGAGCGGTTTATATGGAAACACTATAATGGTAAAAACAAAAATAAACTTGAACGATGCCCAGAAATCCTCTTCGTCGATTTCATGATCCGACAGTAAGAGGCGGTCTTATGGAAACAATAAAGTGGCTAACAAGCATAAATACAACTTGACGTATCAGATCACAGCATTTCGTCTCGTCGATGTAATGATCGACATTGAGCGTTCATGGATGAAATAGTGTAAAGTGGTAAAAACAAATAAAACTTGACGAGTGTTTTTGTTTTACTATGGTTTTCTCGCATAGTCCGTAACCGGTCAACACCCACACAAACCAATCGAATTTAAATATTCATTCCCCTACTTGAAGGTTCATCGAAATGTCTTGTGTTATAATTCTTTATCGCGGTTCTTCATGTAATTGTTAAGGTCTTCTTTGAATGGTAAGTATTTCTGTGCAACTCTTGCTATTTCAGTGGGTGTGTTTGAGAAGAGTATTTTTGACAATTTCCTTTATTTGGCTTCAGTTGTCGGTGTCAATTGAAATCGCGTAAGTTTTCGTCGATAGAACCATTTCTGTCCAGTATTATATATCTTATTGCTAAGTGCATAAAAGGCTCTTGTATGTTTCTTCTGACTTAAATTGTAGACGATAACATAAATTCTCTTATCTTCCTTCATTTTCCAACTCTTAAGTAAAATCATAACTTTCATATCTTTTCTTCTTTGATACTCTGGAAACGTGGTAATTCTTTATTGCTGTATGCTTTGTCTATGATTCAATTGACTTCATTTCTTTGCTATGAAGTTTCTTAATTTCCATCTCTCACCTTCTCCAGTTTGCGTTTATAGCTAGTTCATGGCTAACACAGAAAATAACAACATAACGAGGTGAAGCCCAGCACTTGCTACATGTATTTACTTAAAAGTCTAATTGAACATAATAACCCTTCTCAAACCAGGAGTGTACCCAAATTCTTGCGATTTTCATAACGGAATCTCTTCCCCGGTATTTCCGAGGGAATGCAATCATATGAGGAAATCTTCTAAAAGTTCTTTTGTCTTTGGTTTTAAAACCAATAATATGCCTTGCTTTGTTAGAATATAGCAGCGATGTCATTTATACTTTCGCATTTCGAGTACTATCATCGTCTTTAGAACCTGAACGAATGAGCGTAACTGTATTTGTTTATACTGTATGATTTCATATTCTTTAGTATTATGGCTCCATGAACGATTAAGCAAGTGTTGTATTCTCTGAGTTGACATTACTGTTTCTTTTTGGACATACAAGATAAACCAAAGGATAAATATAAAATTAAAACTAACCTTCTATTTTTATCTTTATAAAATTCATGAAATTTGGTCATTTTTTCAGCAAAATAATGTTTACGAGTGCAAGAGTGAGAATTTCACCTCTTTTTCCACCTGTTTTTTCACTCTTTTTTCACAAGCGTTTTTACATGAAATTGTCGATGTAATATTTGAAATCCTTAAACAATTCGTAGCTTCTATTTCTTCTTTTAGTACATCGATATGTTTTAATCATGCCGAAAGTCTCTTTATATTGTCTTCTTGACGTCAGACAGAAGGAAATTTCTGCTGTTGGATAGTTTTTAATAAGAAATGTAAACATATCCATTTTCATTCTTCTGCTGGCTTTCTGCATTTTCTTTCTTTAAAGAGTCTGTCATAGTCCGTTTGCTTCCTTCTCTATCTCTTTGACTGACGTAGTTATATTTCTCATGCTGCTTTACATTTAAAAATTTGTGATTCATTTTGCTGTTAATCATTGAAATAACACAAGCTAGCAATACAACTAAGCGCGTCAATGGTTTTCTTTAAACGCAAACAGCTGCTGGTTTTTATCTTTCATTCCATACTGCTATCTCTTCTATCTTATCTCTTATCTGCCATATTTCACATTTTGCCTACTAATGAAACAAAGTTATCGGTATGTCTTAAATTCTTCGGATTTGTAACGGGTCCGATAATTTTTTATAAACCAATGGCTCGCCAATCTTGTCCATAACTTTATGGTTGCTAATGATATCCTTAGAAAACTCACATAATTTAACCTTTCGTAGGAACTCTTTATTCTACTGAGTCAAGTTGTTTCACTTCTATTTCATCGAATTCATGAATATGTGAGCTTTTGTTGTTGGGATTCAGGCAATTTGGTAAATGTCAATAATGATCTGCAAATGTCAAGATATAAGGATATTCTTCATTTTCTTCATCCTGTGCGGTACAGCTAAATTACTTGTTAAAACAGTTCTTGCTTTATCTTCTGGATTTCTGTTTCCAAAAGTATATGTGAAGAAGGAATACAAGCCTTTTCAAATCTCTCTACAAACATTGAACCGTAGGATTCAATGACTAACGAGTGTGGTGCTGTTGTGGCAGAGTCCTGCGTTGCGGCTTGAATTGTTGTTGTGCCGATTGTGTGAAATCATATCTTTTTATACAAAATAGAAAAAATAAATAAAAATACAAACTAACTTTATTTTTCTATCTTAAAGAACGTTCCATGAAATTCCGGGGTGCAACAACAGGTGAAAAAAGAGGTGATATCTTTCACACCTTCTTCACCTCAAAAATTTTATTTTGGGTGTAAATAAATGTTACCTGATTAATGATATCAATGACTGTTACATCATTCATGTCTGATTTACATCTAATGCATAAAAGTTTAGAAGAATTTTCTTATTCTTTCTGGCTTAGTTTTTATCTTCCAGTACTGCCCGCTCTAATGGTCCCAGATGTGTTGGCTTCGACTCTCTCAAGCTATCTTTTAGATGGTATATACATCTTCAGACGCCCTCCTCATTCTTACTTTAAGTGTATCGTTATGTTGTAGTCAAGTATTTCATATACCTACTCTCGCTTTGCTTTCGTCAATGGTTTCAGCAAGTTTCCAATTGACTAATCTTCGACCTAATTAATGACGTGAGAATAAAACGTCAATGGATTCCGTTCACAGCTTTCTATACAGATATCCCTTACTTTAGCTTAGATCTACTGATATATATAGTTTCTACTTTAACCATAAAACGTTTCTTTGTCAACGGTTTTGTTCGTCAAGCAACTACCAACTGTTTGTAACAGGAATGAGGGTAATTGTGTATGAACTTTCTGATATTTTTTGTGTTTGACTTCGTTTCTTTTGTATATACTTTTCTTCTTCCTTGTGTTGTCATTGAATTCTGGGTGTATGTCCTGTTGTAGAATTGTTGGAGGAATTATATACTTCTACGAGAGAAATGTTTCATTGTTCTTTCTCGGTAAATCTTCGCTCTTGGTTGTTTAAATCTCTGAGCGTTCTTTGAATCGGTTTTACTGAATGCCGAGTAGTGTTATGGTTATGGTTCTTCAGAGTTGTAGTGAGGTTATGTTATATGCTTAATGAGAAAATCTGTGATTTCATTGCTCACGAGCGTATGCACTTGTCTGGTCGATGCTTAAAGTACTTGGGTATTGTTCTGCTTACAAAACTTTTGTAAACAACTTCTTAACATTATACGATTCCTTATTTTTTCTGGTATGCATATGCTCTTGCGAGTGTTTAACATTTAATGAAGATGAGGAATGGTGGCTTTTCTTCTTTCTTACTCTGAATGAAAGAGGTGTCAATTTGTATCGTCAGGATGCGTCGGAGCTCGAAATTGTAATATAAGTAGTCCGGTAAGGGTTTAATTTTTGTGTTTTGAGTGGTGACGAATGCATTTTTGTCATATTAATATCCTTTTCACTTCAAGCCTCTGGTTTAGTACATCCTCCACTTCTTTGCAGCTTCATTTGATATTGTCTGTGAAAAGACTCCTATGGGATGTTTGTTTCACTATCCTCTACTTCTTTCAGCTGCATTTATGGTAAAGTGTAAAGATTTTATTCTAGGCTCAATGCGCGTTCATTGAACACTCTATATCCATCGCGAATATCAGTCCACAAATCGGGCATTAATTCTCACCCGAGCCTGTTGTGATTGTGTTGGTGGAAGTATGTTTTGAGATGATTTCTCCTCTGTTCAGTTGGTCGAAAAAGTTTGTTTTGCTGAATTGTTATGAGATGGAGATATTAAACTGTCATTGCCAGCTTGTATATTCTGAGTTGGTATTAATGGGTGGTCTCTTAATGATGGCTATGGTCGCCAGAAAAGTTGTCGTTTCTGTAAATGATGTGCGCAGTAATTTGCTTCTTTAAATCTTTCTTTGAGGCAATGTGCTGTGTTGATTGAAGAGTTAGCACAGATAAGAATTTATCTACAATCGCTGCCACGTCCAAAATCTATAGAACAACTCTGCTGGATTTGTTGAGTATTGCGTATAAATATGAGCTATAGGATATATGGTTTCAAAGAACCTGAAGGTCCTTCATTGTTTGAAAAGTTCATGTGTTAACCCCGATTTATTATAATCTCATTGTCCATGCTCCTAATATTTAATGATGTTGTTATTATAACCATTAGGATATAAGATGAGGATTAGTAATATAATTTTGTTCAATCTAATAGGTGTTCCGTTCTTCCTGTTTTGTTACTTCTTCAATGTATGCATTCAATTTTTTAATCTTGGATTTGTTTGAAATTCTTCCATGTGTTATTGTTCTTTTGTCGGCTTTAGACTTTTAACAATTGATGGGTAGTTTTTGTAGCGTTCAAAGTTTGGTCTGGCCATAATTGAGTCTAATTGTTCCTGGCAATAGTTTTATTCTGAAATTGTTAAGAACCGTATCTTTTGTACTGCTTGGTAACTCGATCTCTTTGAAGGTGCAACTTTGAACCGAGGGTAATAGTTCAATATTGAGTCGTCTGCTCTAACAGTTGAGAAGGATTTATGTGTATGTTTCTTTTATGCTGCTTCTTATTTAACGATTGCTGTAGTTCCATTCGTGTTTCAAAGTTTCCTGACATGCACCTTCGATAATTCATACATTTGTTATTGAGGAGTTAGTGTATCTTTGTTACGCTTGTAACTTGGATTCTCTAAAAGGTGACTTGAACCAAAGGGTATTAGTTCAATTATTATGGTCGCTGCTCTAACAGTAGTGAAGGATTCATCGTGTATGGTTCGTTGTCAGCTTACTATTTAATTAGCCTGAAGTGAATTAAATATCGAACGATATGGTGTTATGAAGATTCAAAACTTTGGTTCGTTGCTGTCAAAGTTCATCTTTGTCAGCTTTACTTTTAATAGCATCTTCAAAGTTATTTTTGCCTTAACTCTCCAAAGTATAATTTTGAATCCAAACTAATACATCCGTTAACAAAGAAGTAAATGAGCGTTATATCGATTCCATCGTTTAATATTACCGAAATGCTTCTGGTGCTTTACCCGTGCTCATACTGTATCAGTACAGCTTATGTTCATGAACTTTAGCACGAACGAATTTATTACTCTTCTTTCATTAACATCGTTTCGTCTGTTCACTTTCTCCATCTGTGTTAAATTCCAGTGGTAGTTCCGTTATAATCCTGTTCCGTCTGAACTTATATATGAACAGGTTTTTATCTGCTGTTTTCGGTAAATTTCTACTCTATCTCAATTTATCAAAGTTCATTGCCTACCACCACCTCCCTGAAAGAATTTTATATTTTCTTTCAGCTCTTGAAGAACCGTCCACTTCGCCATCTTTGGTGTAATAATAGAACTTTGAGTTAAAAACTTTCCTGTC